AACAGTTGGATGCACGCAGCAGCACAGCTAGCAAGAGAAGGAGCCGTGGATGGGTTTGTTCCTGTTTTTGATGGCTGTGGCCATCAGTTGGCCCAGCGGTCTCGTGTGAGTACGGTGTTTGTTCGTGCTGCCAGCTCGCGCCCGGCATTTGTTTGCGCTGGCAGCTCGGGCCCGGTGCGCGAGTGAAACCGAACCGTGACAAAGGCTTTCGCTCTTTAGTGCTATTGACTGGCTTTTCATACGATGCCTATTGATGTCTAGAGACATGCTGTCTAGCCTTCCCCTAGTACGCATTCACGGGGCTTTGTTGAAGTTCGTGCCGTGAACTGCCAAAGGGAACTGTTTGAATGGTGCTGGGGCGAGTGCGACATTACGGCGTCCCTGCAGCCGGCCTAATCGCGTTTGTCGCCACAACCGATTTTGTCATAATTATGAGCTTCCAGATCCAAAATTATTATGCCATTTTGAATATTCAAAACATTTCAATGAGATCTGGAGAGATGTCTGCGAATATCTCTCTTAACAATTTACCATGGAATTATTAAATATTGGGTCACTGTATGCATTTCTTCATCTTTCATCTTTTGCTGTACTGTTTCACCATGCTGTTTGAGTCATGCCCAGCAATTTGGCAATTTGGTATTGAAAAGCAAAGAAATAGTGAATATTGATGTGCCATGAAGAGAGTTTGAGGATCCTTTCGTGTGGTTGACCTGAAACAAAGGCGTGACATATCCGATCAGCATTTTAAAGTTGGCGGATGTTCATGCATGTCGATGACGATACTGGCAAGACCATTGGATGTACTTCACAGCTGAGACTTTCAGCTGCTTCTCTTGGTTGCGCTCACCTTCCCCTCCTTATGTTCTTTCTATAACTTAGAACCTTCCAAGTTCGAAAGCTGTTGGAGTGCGCATCCAAGATGTGCCAGAGCTGTTAGTGTTAGCCAGTTAGTTATAGAACGTAAGTACCGTCGGTCAGTGTCGTGCAATGTTATCGCATGAGCTGATTGTTTAGTAACTGGTGGTGTTAGTGGACAGTATAGCGTAACTTGTAGTTCCTTGGTCCTTTTTCTTTTCTATAAATTTATCCTTGGCTCTCAATAATCTGAGCAATGCTGTCATGTGCCCCTTAGCAGGTACGTCTTGTATTGTATTTCTATTTCTGTTGTCGTTGCTCTTTATATTTTTATTTTTTCATTTCCCAATTCCCAAGTCCATTCAGCACGTGCGAATTTGTGGGCGGTTTACCACCGCTGACATTGACGCGTAAGTGCATAATAATAATAATAATAATAATAATAATAATAATAATAATAATAATAAATCTCAATCCGAGTCCATTTTTATTAGTTTCTTTGTCTTTTCCCTTCATCCACTCAAGGTAGCAGAACTACACAACACCATAAATCATACACTTTCTCCTTGAATTTTTTTTAAAATCTTTCCAGTAATATTTCCTAAACCATATTCGTAGAAAAGAACAGGACATATGGATATGAGTTAAGAGTAACTCTCCATCACTGTAACTGGATACTATATTCAGTCAGAAAGTGCAATAACTAGGCACAAAACTGACAGAGTACTGAGACATTCGACCCCGATCCGAGTTTCAAATTGCACACCTGATGAGCCGTCACGAACCATACGGCGAAACGTACGTCGTTTGAAACCACTTGTTTTGTAGTCAACTAGTCCATCACAATGTCATGCATGAGGAGTACTGTAGGAGTTTGGCTTTCGGCTTGTACAATTCGTTTTCGCAAAGCTTCCCCTTTCTTTACTTATCTTTGATATTTATGACCCACCCAAGTTGGGTGGTGTGCTGCTTCGTTGCTTTGAATTGTAGTTAGAACGCTTTGTGAAATATCGTACTGGTCTCGTCATCGTCCAGTAACAATGGACATTCTTTGTTCCGTTGGGACTGTAGCTTTTGCTCGTTTTGTTGCGCTTGCCTTCCCCTCTTTGGTCTTTTCATAACCTTGAACCTTCCAAGTTGGAAAGCTGTCGGTTAGCGCCACGGAGATGTGTTGAAGCTAGGTGTCAGGACGTCGAATGTCTCAGTACTCTGTCAGTTTTGTACCTAGTTATTGCACTTTCTGACTGTATATAGTATCCAGTTACAGTGATGGAGAGTTACTCTTAACTCGTATCCATATGTCCTTTTCTTTTCTACATTTATTTATGGCTCAACATCCGAGTTTTAAACCATATTCATTAAACATAATCGTCTTTGAGCTGCAATTTAAGAAAACTCATTTTGAATCCAGAATTTGAGTCGCGATCAGCAAAAACAGACATATGGTGGTACCTAACATATGTAAGACCAGTAATGTTATCGAACATTTAATTCTAACGGTTAAACGAAATTAAACAATTCGTTAACATTTGAGATCGTTATACACAAAACTATAATGGACCTGTATAGTCATTTGCCGGTTTTGAAACGGAATTCGTTAGAATTTCACCTCAATAACCCACAAAAACCCGGAAATTGTTAACTTTAATTGAATTAAAATGTCTGGTCTTACAATATACCGTATTCCTGTGCATAAAAGGGCATCCATTTATATTTGAATACAAGGGCACCTCCACATATAAAGGCATGAAAAAACTCAACAAGCCAAGAGTGTGTTTGGAAAACTGGAGTAGTCGTACTGAAAGATATACCCTTGTATCCGGAACATTTCTTTCCTGATGAAAATTGGAAGAAACGCATTTTTCGCATAGAAGGGCATGCACTTTTATGTGGTTGAGTGCGATAGATCAAATTCTTCAAAATTGTTTTTTAACTGGAATTTAAAAAAAGGGGACCAAAAGTTTACAAGTTATTCGTTTTGTCCAACACTAACGGTTATAAGCAGAGTACTGTCGAGTCCAAAATGTGCAACAATTAGCATAAACTGACTGATGAGATCATGACATTCAAGGACCTGATGCTTAGCTGCATCACGTCTAGAATGCGCAAACCAGCAGCCTTCCAACTTGTCGGCGTCGGCGGTCGGTGTCGGCGGAATATGGCACGTCGTTTGGGGCATTTGTCTTCCCGAGGTGTCTCTAGCTGGCTCGACACACTGCCTATCAGAGAACACGTATATCATCTGTAGAAGGGAGATTTCAGGGATGCGGTGACGTTGCGGTATGACTGGGCATTGGTTGATGTGCCTTCTACCTGCTCTTGTGGCCAACCGTTTAGTGCGGCCCATGCCATGTGTTGCCCTATTGGTGGTTTCCCCACCATTCAGCACAATGAAGTCCGCGATATTCTTGCCGACTTACTTACTGAGGTTTGCTCGGATGTCGCTGTCGAGCCTCAGCTTGCTCCGGTTTCGGGAGAGGTGTTTCTGGCAGCCTCAACTAACACCGCCAATGATGCTCGCACTGATATTCGGGCTCGAGGGCTGTGGACCAGGGCACAGAATGCTTTCCTGAATGTCCGGGTTTTTCATCCCGATGCTCCGTCCTATGCCACCAAACCTCTCGACAAACTGTTGGCGGAGCATGAGAGGAAGAAGAAGCTGGAGTATGCTGAGCGAATCATCAATGTGGACCGTGGGACATTTACTCCACTAGTTTTCACCACGGCCGGTTGTTGTGCGCCAGAGTGCTCCAGATTTGTCAAGCGCCTGTGTGGCCTCATTTCAAATGGGGACACGAAGTTGTATGCCGAGACAATGACATATGTCCGGTGTCGACTGGCTTTTGCATTTGTTGCGGTCGGCAATCATATGCATCCGCGGTGCCCGATCATCATATCACCGTCCTGTAAATGCATTGCGAGAGTTGCCATGAGGTTTTGGAGATGATGGTGGGCAGGACAGTGCCCTTGTATTTTCCTGGGCTTTTTCTTTTCATTTTTTTCTTTCTTTCCCCTACCAAATAGTACCGGTTACACATACAATTGTTTTCGTTCTTTTGGTGTTGTGTTCTGATCATTCGCCATGCCACTGTCAATTGTATTCTGTTTGCCTGCCACCATGCTGGCCCTCTGGACATGATTTAAAAGGTCGTTGAATGTCATGATCTCATCAGTCAGTTTTGTGCTAATTGTTGCACATTTTTGACTCATCAGTATTCTGCTTAAACCGTTAGTGTTGGACAAAATGGATAACTTGTAAACTTTTTGTCCTCTTTTTGAATTTTAATCCTTGGCTCTCCATCCGAGTTTAAACTGGAATTTTGTTGTTTGCATCTGACAGTCACGTACACAAAGTTTGAAGCGGATTGAACAAGGGTATAAAGTGAGCAAAAATTGATCTAAAGAATACACACTCCAGGTGAAATAATGTGAATTCTGACTCAGGTAGGCCTTCATTTCTTGTTCTAGTTTTGCAGCCTGCTGAGTTCCACACACCTAATGATCAGTTGACTTCATTCCATTGACCATCAAGCACATGATAACATAAGCACCTAGTTTAGTTTGGAGTACCCTCAATACAACATAATTTTTGGCCACTTCAACTCGTTACTAGATGATTGAAAATAGCCATCACGGCTGTTCCAGAGATCCAAAAGATCGTACATATCTATGGATACACAGTCAGAATATGCTACATCTTATTGCTTTTTTAGGTGTGTTTTCACGTTGGTCCTGCTTGGACAGAATTGTCTTAAACTGAAGGTTTGGCACTCCAGGGACTTGGGTCAAGGTTCGTTATAACGAATTTTATGTATTAACGAATTATATAGTAAACAGACCAGGAAACAGTTGTATAGACCAGGTTTCACGAGGGGATTTCAGAATTCAGAACACTGTTTATCTCATTTCCGTTAGTCACGAGATTCCATTGATAAACGTGAAAACTTTCTGGAACTAAACCTCTGCAGCTTTGTTGTTTGACATGAGCACCAGTTTAATTTTGCTCTTAGCGATTTCAGAATTCCATAATTATACTACCGGAACTTATGTACTAACCGGACTCGTTACAACGAGGGAGGACCTGTAATCATGATTAAATTTTAATACTGAATGTACATTAAAAAATTGCGGGAGGAGCTTACATGATTCGGGAGTCTCCAGTCTTAGGCTGGGACTTGGACCACTTGGACCAGCAGCATTTTCTGCATGATACCAGCAGGTGTACTTGGTGGCTGGTTGAAGTCCAATAATTGTGACAGTACTGAGTGGAACACTTTGAACAGTGTCCTTCACATAAGATCTGTACTCTTCATCTGGTTTACAAATGACTTTATAACTTGTGACAAATAGATTTCCTTTGAATGATGGTGATTGAAGATTGAGAGTGACCGAAGTTGCGCTTAGGGTATCCTGGACAATGAGTGCGGGTCTAGGGGCAACAAGAAACCTGGGAATATCTGACAATGAAACAAATAATCAAGAAGAGTGTTTCATTGTTAGAAGAGCGTTCAATGCCAATATAATGCAGAGCATGTGATTTTGGAGTGACGAGCTTTTCATAGTTACGGGCAGTGCGGGTACTGCCCGGTCCCGGATAAACGAGGTATGAGTGCGCTAACACTTACTTTTGTTCACTTCAAGCTATAGTGTTGAGCTGATAAATACAACAATCAATGTCTATCCCTCGATAACTTTAACAAGCTCATTAATTATCAAATTCTGCACCATTTTGTTCTCAAAGGCACCAAAAAAGAGTTCTCAAAAATATCCGTAGCATGCTGAAGAGAAAAGATATTTGTCTCTAAAGGAGGTGTGCTTCAACACCGTACATGAAACAAATGTCCACATCGTGTAGCTTTGGCAATTTAAGAGAGCATGTCGGAGAAAACCAGAACAATTGTCCAAGCGATCTCTCTGATTTCGCTCAAAATTTGCAGGTAGGTTTCCTTTGGAGTGTAGATCGACTATGCAGAGCCCTTGAAAAATTGCTGAAGGGAACCTTGAAATTGGCATACCCCTCGAAATTGTCAAACATTCATATGATTAAGGGTCTACAAACGAGCCACACCACAGCGTACATGAACAAGCTACGAACAAAACTCCATTAAGCCAGGGGCAGCACGACTTAGCCACGCCAGCATCCTAGAAGATGAGGGTCATCATCCCTCGATGGCATAAAATGATCAACTTGAAAAGAGACAAATTACAAGCGCTGATAAAACAGCGAGCTACAATCTCAAAATTTACCCAGCAGATAGTGGAACACCTCTTCAAGCACTGAGGACATGTCCCCCATCATCCTTTCGGGGTTCTCTTGATATGAACAATTTTTAATTTGTCCACGCCACCATACTGAAATACGTCCAAACTCATACCTGCACAGGAAAGCTCGCCCTCCATGACGTCTAGTCAGCAACTTCTACTCCAACACTACTCCAAACGCTGCAGAACAAAGTGTTTTGGTGACACTAGAGAGCTCCTCATGGCTCATGTTTTTCAGAAAGCCCAAAATTGCCAATTTCACGCAAGGGTGCGTTCACACACACACACTCACGGGAAGGGCTGCCGGAACGGGATGGTTGTCATGATAGCAGGGTCACTTGAACCCGAAACTAGGTGTATGATTCATCCGCCAGCTTCCCGCGAACGCGATGGCGTGAGGATCTTCCCAGCTCAAATTTGGGGCTGGGAAGCTTCACGCCAGAGTGGTACTGCATAGTCGACTACAATTGTAGTCGTAGTGTAGAACTATGGTGGCGTGAGTAGGTAGTGGGTCGATTGTAGATTTTTGGAAGCAACGGCAGTGAACTACAGTACTTTCCTTTTGTTTGTCAGTTGCGTGTGGGGAGTTTTTGTTTTCTCAGCAATGGTGAGAATATGTCTCAGCGCTTGCCTCAGCGCTTCATTCTCGATACGGAAAACGTGCCATGGAGTCCTATCATCACACGGCTTTTTTCTGTACATCTGAGGATTGTGAACATGCGGAAGATATCCTCGGCGCTCCAGCACAATAGTCCAGCAACGCGAAGCTCCAGCAAATGCTCATTCACGTCGAGCAGTGCCAAACTGTCCTGAACTTCATGTCCACTTGACCTGCTCAGGAGCAAAAGCTGCTATCGCACAATGTAACATGTCCACCAGGAAGTGAACGTAGGAACATTCGGAGCAAGCACATTTCCAGAACTCTTCTTCCTCACAAGTGCCAATGACACAATTTATTTGAGCCGGGGAATAGCTAGCTAGCACTTGTAGATCTACTAGATGTATATTTTGTTTATGTACAGGTTCGAGTTGTACAATCATGTAACAGTATTTTCATACTACTTCCCTGCACGAGTGCTGACTTCACTGACTTCAGACTAGTTCAGTGCTCCAAACGATTTCACGCCCGACTTCCCTTGCTGGCGAACACGGCAGATGTGAACGCGAGTTTCATTTTCCCGAGGCTGGCGTGTTCCTGTCCTGCCAACTGGGCCTTCCCGTAAGTGTGAACGCACCCCAAGGGAAACTATACAGTTAAAAAAAAGTATATTATCGTATCCGTTCCCGAAGGGAACTCACGACGGCCGCTAACACCCGATAAACCCTATACCCTATACCCTATACCCTATACCCTATACCCTATACCCTATACCCTATACCCTATACCCTATACCCTATACCCTATACCCTATACCCTATACCCTATACCCTATACCCTATACCCTATATATATATACTATACAGTAACACCTGGTTTAAGCGACCACCCCAGGGTGCAAGCAAAAGTGGTCGTTAAAGCCAGGTGGTCTTTTAAACCAGGTCCCAAAGTGTCTGTGTAAGAACTGTCTGTGCATGGAAAAACGGTGGTTAAGAGCAGGTGGTCGCTAAACACAGAGATCGCTTACACCAGGTTTTACTGTAGTTAACATCTAAATTGGTCACAAGGTGTCACTGGGTCACAGGGTTCACACCTTACTTCCTCCCATACTATAATAAAAATAACATCTTATTCTCAAACCGTACCTTGTACTAGGATGGTCAGTTGTTTTAAAGCAATTCCAAAGGGCGACGATACTGTACAAGTATACATCCCTGAGTCGTCCACAGTTAGGTAATCACCAAGCTTGCGTGTCCAACCATTTGCACCATTATATGCTGGTAGTATTCTTCCATTCTTAGTCCATGTCATATTCAATGGTCCCGTGCCGTTTGCTCTGCACACCAAGGCAATTGATCCCACCTGCCATGATGTGGACACGATAGTCATGGATCCACTGATGAATGTAATGTATGGAACAACTATAACAAAGGGAAGCAGGCAAGAAGCAAGGAACCGTCTCCACTTACTACAGACTCTCGTTGGATTAGAAGATTAGTGAGGGCGGGTAGGAGGGGGCATGACACATCTGCAATAGCTAACGTTTTGGCATATCAAAGGTGTGCTCAAAGGACAAGAAGAATTGTTATGAGCTGTGAAACTAAAGTACCAAACCATAGGAGTGTTCTAATCCAAGACAATGCCCTTAAAATTCACCACCAAGACTCGAACCAAGGACCTTTAAAAGTCGAGTGCATTTTACCCATTTTTCCCTGAAGCAGTAATAAAACAGAAGTATTACCAATCTCACATACAGATACAAAGTGCCATCAGTATGTGTGGCACGCATCATGAACTGCCTTTGGAGTGAAAAACTTGTCAGCGCTTTCTAGTTTCAACCTGGTCCCGTAGCTCAGTTGTTCAGAGCATTTATCATGACAAGCAAAGTCCCGGGTTCGAGTCCTGTTGGGTTTGGCATTATTCTATTTCTAGGCGGTTCACTTCCCTGACTGACTGAATTTGAAGTTCTCCCAATCCTTTCAAAAAACTATCATTTTCGCATTGACATCACCTTTTTGCATTGACATCACCAAGCAAGCTTGGCTAGTCTTTGCATAGGCTAGATGGAATGAAGAATGAGGAACGAGCGGGGACAATGAGGCGCTAAAATGAAACTCGTGGTCCTATACTTAACACTAGAAACATAATGATACAGTACTCACTGGGAACATGTAAAGTTGCAGTGGTCCTCGAAGAAAGTACTCCTTGCCGTCGAAAGCCGCATTCATACGTGCCGACCATAGATTGAGTGATAGTTGCTGGCCAGTGCATCTGTCTGGTGTATACTATAGCATTGGGACTTCCAGCGCGAAGGTCTCTGTCATACTGTTCAATCCTGAACAATGCATTGTCTTGAACAGGTGCGTTGTTGAAGTACCAGAACGCTGTCGACAGAGGTGGGTCAAGAGGCCCCATTGACCGAATGGTGAAACATACGATTTTACATGTCAAAGTGGGAAGACGTGCTGATGATGTGCCTGGAAAAATGTAAAAATCTGTGGGTCCGTCGTAGCTTGATCTACCACGCAGGTCCATTGCAAACTGAACCCAGCCACCTCTACAATCTTGAACAACAAAAGCGCACAATGTCAAAAGAAAAGCCGATAATGACTGCCATAGAAGCAATAATATTATGCAAGCACTAACTGTTACACGTAGTGGTGATATGATACCCTACGCTAACGTACACACCGTTTTGCAGGTATAGTGTGACACTCGGCAAGCACTATCGCCGTTGCTAAGGCATATTGCCGTTGCCAAGGAATGTTGCCATTGCCAAGCAATATTTTAGTTGCCCAGCAGCGAGTATCAAGCTTTCCTAGATGCCCTAAAGAAAATGCCCTGACTTGCACGAGTGGCCCTTTTCACCAACCCAGAGAAAGGGATTGGCCTATTATAACGCATGCACGAAGTCACCAGATTACACCCGCACCAGAGATGAAGGCGAGAGCTGTGGCCGAAGAACGGCAAATGGAACCGTACCGGACCATCAAAGACAGCTGACCACAATATTCAAATAGGGCTTTCAAATGCAAGATCATAACGTGAAGCAACTTGGAAGAATGAGTATGTAAGCGAAGTGTATCGGGAGAATGCATGCAGGGCGATAGTGTGGGTTCGAATCCCAGGATATGTCTTTGAAAAAAAATAGGAGAAATGAAAAATTTATAACATCCCTATGCTTTTTTTGCCTAGGTCATCAAGGTGGTAGACGGTGTCGTATTACCCTCGAGTGCAAAAGAGAAAGTTTGATGTAGGCAATCAAAAAATATTTCCATCAGTTCTGATAACATGCATGAGCTAGGCAAAAAAGCATAGCGTAGGGCCCTGAGCTTCCAAGCTCTCTCGTTTTATAGCCGAGGCAAGCCAGGAAGTTGGCGTACCTCCTTGGTGCTGTGTATCCTCACCACATATAAAATGCCACGGTGTACTCCTCGACGTGATCATATCCAGTCAGGACTATCTGCCACAGATGTCGACTGCTCTGGCTGGGCCATGTTGTTATTGAAGGACTTAACTCAGCGCCTTACCAAGCCCTGGAGCTAGATGACAATTCACACCCGGAACGTTAAAAGTGCCCACATGGCCGACCGAATCTCGATGCTTGCGGAAAAGCCCTGCGCTTGCATAGCTACTCTTTACTGCTATACGTTCTAACATTATTGAGATTCCTTTTGTTGGCTCTTCTGCCTGGATTTCATTGACAGATGCGTTATGCCCGTGGATCCTTCCATTAGTGACATGCGAACTATTATTATTTTCATTATTGGAGGCAAAACATTGCTAGTCACTTGTTATGCTAACCTACTCGGAGGTTTTATTGTAGTTTGCTGGACGGTTGGAGCACAACTATCACATGTACAGATATCTACTGTCTATTTCTGACTCAGCAAACATCAAAACGTATCAACTTCTGGGATCTCCCCTGAGCGGATATTTTCTGACCTTATAAAACATGTTTTTTGTCTAATGATTGGCTTAATCGCCACGAAACTTCAGAGGAACAACAATCTTTACCCTTGTTCCACTGCGAACTTGTGTTATTTAGCTTCACCCTGGCGATATCGAGCAGTTCTGCAAGTGGCTCAGTGGGAACTGAGCTTTCAAAACACGTGCACCATATATTCTGCAGCATAGGCCTCACTTTAAAAAACAATAATTCAACAAACAAGAATCGGTGTTATTTATGCTACGATGGTCAAATTGACAGTGATACATAGGCTAGATGTCTGGATTTCGGGACAAAAAATTTGGTTGCGGCTTATGCTCCAGTGGCGCCTACATTTGTATACTCTGTAAAACACGGTGCAGTACTGTAGGGTGCTGAAGAACGACCAGGCTAGAATTTTACTAAGCACAGCACACACCAATGTATACAGCGTGACTCAATTGTGCATATACTGTAATACATGATACTTCCTCCGCGTCATTAAAATTGTCGCTTCGCACATCGCAATGTTTGTGACTTGGCTGGTCTTAGTCAGTCTGTCGGAGTCGCTGTTTTCTGTGTTCGAACATTGGTGCCATCCTTCCTGCGTAATGTCTACTTGTTACTGAAGCCGTGGTGGTCTCGGACTTTGTCGAAGCTCTCTTCCGCACCAAGCAAATTCATCGCGTTCCGCATTATTCCGCCCCAGAGCGAATATCGTTCTTCTGGAGTTCGAGTTTGTGCCGTCCCACCTCGTTCGCGTGGGCATTTATCACAACTGCAAGCTCGGGTATAAGAATCCTGGAATCTCTCCTGAATACGAAATGCTAAAGTTGACGATGGCAAGAATAAAGTGTTCACAAATTCCTAAAATGCGCTACTTGTGGCGCATGTTGCTGCGAAGGTAGCAGGTCTGACAACACCAAAAAAATCAGCGAAGCGCTTGCCAAGGAAAGAAGGTGCGGAACTGCTTACACTACAGTGTACTTGAAAAATGCTAGCTTACCTTCATCGCCTGCCACCTGGAGGCATGGATCGCTCGAAAATGAAGCTTCTCAGTGACCTGGATTTGAACGTGCATCTTGTTCAACGTATTGTTGAGTGCTGAAGAGTCTGCCTCAAACTCTGATGAAGTCGTCGACCTTAGCTGCAAGTTCAGCGAACCGGGAGGCCACAAACTAAAGCCTGGTCCGTCGACAAACTCTACCTCAATATCTAGCTGATTTCTTTACCGTTCGAGTGGACAAAATAAATTCGAAAAATCGCTCTGGGAAGCGAACATTTTAATGACGCGGAGGAAGTAATAAGAATGGTCTAGGCTAGGAGATCCCCCCCCCCCTCCCCCAGTTCTTCGGTGACCAACATAACTTTATACATGTACATGTACTTACTTTCATGCTGACTCTGCACTGCCAATATCATTCCCAGCAAGATTAACACTGAGAAGATATGTTGGGCAAAATGTTGACCATTGATTAATTTTGTGTACTGCATGAGAAAAATACAGATATACACACATACCACATACCCAACACATGCGCTCACATACCCAACACATGCGCTCACATACCCAACACATGCGCTCACATACCCAACACATGCGCTCACATACCCAACACATGCGCTCACATACCCAACACATGCGCTCACATACCCAACACATGCGCTCACATAGACACACAGATACACATGCATGTAGAAATGGACACATCTGTCCTGTCCTGAACATTGCCGTACGATGGTCATATGTCCCCTCATACGAGGGGCCGATAGACATGGGGTAGGTCGGTTCAGTAAGGTACGCAGCACGCTCCGCAGGTTAGCGGCCAACGAGAGTTCTGTTCTATTTCGCACAGCTGTGCAGTTGGAAACTCCTCTTTGATCATGAACACATACACACACACACACACACACACACACACATACCCACTCGCATGCACGCACCAATATACGTTACATATTTTCAATGTTCTCCTTAGTTGTCATCATTGCTGAGACGATTTTTCTCTGATGAAAGTCTCACGAGAACAGAATACAATATTTTTCATTCATGATAATAATATCATCGTGCTCATGTATTTTTGTTGTTATTATGCAGTTTGTTGCTTGAACATTCCATATCTATGTATTACTGATTCACGACCTTTTCTGGAGCTCATGAGAAGCCCGTCGAACTTTCCACTGGGCAAACCTGCAAGAAAGCACCACTCCCTGCTCAACATACAGAAGCTCAACTGATGAGGTGTGAATTTCCCGAAACAATATTTATCGAGCAGGGAGTGGTGCTTTCTTGCAGGTTTGCCGAGTGGAAAGTTTAAAGGGCTTCTCGTGTGCTCCTGGCTCAGTCGTAGGTCAATCAAGTGTCAAGTCAGTCGGCAGGAAGCGCTAGCTCCAGCGTATGGAGCAAACACTTTCTTCACTAATTACTGCCGGTGTCGCAACATCTTAGCTCCATCCATATCCTGTTCGTTGTAAGTATGGTAGCCCATACTAAGGCCAAGTCAATTCTGACTGTTTGACTGAGGCAGTGTTAGACCTCTCGTTTCAAAACATTGGACACCGCAGGGACAATGGTCAGCTTCTCCCCCTCATGGCCTTTCCCTCCCCAACTGAAGTCAGGTACTCCATCACAGATTAGGGTGTGTTGCTAACATAATCATGATGAAAGAACAAATAATATTATGGCATTTGGGACATTCTGTATATCCTTTTTTTCCCGCAGTTTACTGCGAGAGCCATAAGAAATACCAAGTACTGACATTTTTTAGAAATTTGGATACCATGACCTTTTTTAGCTCTGCTAAATTTTTAGGTAGAAAGTGCAAAGCTGCAGTACTTCTCTACGAGAGAGCTTGGAAGCTCAGGGCCCTACGCTATGGTTTTTTGCCTTGATGACCTAGACAAAAAAAAGCATAGGGATGTTATAAATTCTTTAAAAAAATCCTTTTTTTTAAGACATAACTTGGGATTTGAACCCGCACTATCGCGCGCCCTGCATGCATCCCCTGATACACTTCGCATACATACTAATTCTTCCAAGTTGTTTCACATTGTGATCTTGCATTTGAAAGCCCTATTTGAATATGCATTGTGGCCAGCCGTCTTTGATGGCACGGTATGGTAGGGGACAGGTACGATCGAGGGTAATACGACACCGTCTCCCGTACCGTACCGTACCATCAAACACAGCTGGCCACATACAGCTGCCCGCAATATTCAAATAGGGCTTTCAAACGCAAGATAATAACGTGAAGCAACTTGGAAGAATGGGTATGAATGCGAAGTGTATGGGGGAATGCATGTAGGGCGATAGTGCGGGTTCGAATCCCAGGATATGCCTGAAAAAAAAATAGGAGAATTGAAAAATTTATAATATCCTATGCTTTTTTGCCGTCAGATACGGATAGCGCCAGGCGTGACACAAACAAACAAACACACAAACAAACACACAAATACCAAATTAAAGCTGTGTGGACCCTGGCTAGCGCCAGACGTTACTGAAGTAACATCTGCATAGCTACGGGAACAAATATTTATAATTATTATTCCTTTATCCACTATCCATATCTGCCTCCACTGAAGAGCTCTCAATGAGCGAAACAGGTGTCTGGAGGATATGCTATAGCACACCAAGAACGAAATTCCTCGCTATGGTTTTGTGAATGTGGACCAAAAGCACAGTGTGCATTGGTGGAATGTTTCAAATCATTTTCAAACGGCCAAGTTCGCCGCAGCTTCTAAGTAGTTAGGGTTTTTTTCTTACCAACATAATCCCGTTCGTATCCTCTAGGCAGGGAGTTTACTGCTCAGATGTTGGGGTTATCAATATTCGGGTGACAACCTCCTCCTTCAGCTGGCGGCCGTTCCGCTTGCTGCATAGTCCTGGTATATAGTTTGAGCTAGGGTCGAAATGACAGCCGGAATTACAGAGGAACGGAACTGGGTGACTTGCGCGTTGCCTGGACAAGCGCATTTCAATTCGGCAAACTGGACATCGTGATGCATGTTGCGTTTCGTGACGCGGAGATCCACTCACAGTCACACAGTCATTACAATCATGTACTTGAAACGCCGTGCGCCTGGAGCTGGCTTCGCTTCTATTCGATGACCCTGCACTACAGGCTACCCAGCATTCGTCTACGAGGCGAGGACGAGAGTGCGGAATCAGTGCGTGCATTCCTCACAAAGTGCAGAGTACTCCGATTCCAGCACTGAGTGCATGACTTGTACTGTTGTGGATAGGCCCCGGTGACCGGTGTAATATGCCCGAAACTTTGCCGAAAATGCTTTTGGGAAATTCTCGTAAACCTTGCCGAAAATGCTCCCAAACCTTGCCAAAAATGCTCGGAAAATGCTCACTTATTTGTAATCCTCAGCACACGCCGTCAAAACCACGGAGTCAGAAAATACTCAATAAGAGACTTGCTCGAGTCTGCCATGGTAAACAATTCATAAACTACTCAACAAGAAGCTAACCCACGGAATGCGGAAGTGACGTTCTTGTTAGGGAAGTTTTTCTTCGCTCAATTTTGATAAACAACGGCCAAGTGCTCCGTTTCCCCCAAAATGCTGCATCACGAGCCCAAAGTGCTGGGTTCGCGGATTGTACCGAAAATGCTAAAAAAAAATGCCGGCATATTACACGGGGGCCTAATTGTGGACATAGGAAATCCGGTCGCACGTCTAGCGGCCCCAGGCCTGCTGGCCATGCAGCCGTGGATAAGCGGTACACACATGCATTTAATTTGTATGCGCTGCAGCGCGCTCGTCGCATCGGATCAACACGTGCCCTGCACGCAGCGTTCTGCATGCGCTGAGGGCGCCGCCCCGGTCAATCGACCGGATTTCCATGTCCACGACAGTATGAATCGGTGGTTTGCTTCATTCTTGACTTTGGCTTCTTGATTTGCGGCCAGAAACTGACACGCGCAAAAAATTATAAAGAGAGGTGAACATGAAACTACAAAATGTGAAAAGTCAGCAAGTCAAAAAACAGTATGAAAATCAAAAAATAATACTAACCCTTCGAACAATCATTATCAAGAGGAAAGAAGACGAAACTTGCTGACTTTCCACACTTGTAGCGTCATGTTTTTCTCTCCCAATTCCTTACCCATAATAATTGCTATCTTTGTCATATTTTTGCTTTATTTTAAAGGGGAAGTTAAGGCAAAAATTAAAATTTCACCAGTTGTAGTCTTCGTGGTGCTGAGTCGAATGGTCGTGGTCCGAGGATGCTGAGACGCTCCCTTCCTACTTGAATCCCAATCGAACTCGCGCACTTCCACCGAAACTGGGTGACTGCACCCTACTAGATGGGGATTTGTATGCAAAATGTCACTAAAAGCGCCATTTCGTTCTTATAAAAGCACGGATGACCGCGATTGGCCCATATGTTGTAGTCTTTTGGACGCTGAGTCGACTGGGTTTGGTCCGAAAAGGCTGCGATGCAGCGTTCCTCCTTTATTCCCAATCGAACATGGTTGAACAAGCGGTCACGTGCTCCTGCGTACACCAGTCAGCTGGTCACCGTGCCTGCAGGGTACAACTTACTAGCCTGTTTGACCTTTTTTGGGTGCAGTCCTGTCACTCGAGTTGAACTCGAGTTGAACCTTGGTGTGAAAGTTGTCGCCTGCTGGCGTGGTGACCAGGTGATTTGGGCACCCAGGAGCACGTGACCACTTGTTCAACCATGTTCGATTGGGAATAAAGGAGGAACGCTGCATCGCAGCCTTTTCGGACCAAAACCAGTCGACTCAGCGTCCAAAAGACTACAACATATGGGCCAATCGCGGTCATCCGTGCTTTTATAAGAACGAAATGGCGCTTTTAGTGACATTTTGCATACAAATCCCCATCTAGTAGGGCGCAGTCACCCAGTTTCGGTGGAAGTGCGCGAGTTCGATTGGGATTCAAGTAGGAAGGGAGCGTTTCAGCTTTCTCGGACCAAGACCATTCGACTCAGCACCCCGAAGACTACAACTGGTGAAATTTTAATTTTTGCCTTAACTTCCCCTTTAAGATCCTATGAAGAGAAGGGAAAGAAAATGTTCGGTTCTAAAATTTCCTAGTGTTCATTTGGACCGGTGTGGATTGCGCGGATGCATGTAACTACATTGAAGAACTATTTTGATTTCCGAATTAGTCGAAATCTGCACCTCCTGAGCCGTGGATTTTTTCTATCCTTTTGAAAAGACAACCCTGGCGTCCCTAGAATACGATTCATCCTGTTCTTCCGATTCTGAAAGTAAATCCGGTATTGAGGACATACCGGTAGCTGATTTGTTCCCCAGGGCAGAACAAGCTGCAATAGCCAGAAAACGATCAAAAATGGAGAAAAAATGGGGGGGGGGGGGGCTGGGAGAGAGAGAGAGAGAGAGAGAGAGAGAGAGAGAGAGAGAGAGAGAGAGAGAGAGAGAATGGACCAAGGAGGAAAACAAAGCTCAGCCATTAAGTGATAGAATCGGTAATTAGAATGTACACTGTATAGCTAGACTTTCGTGTATGCTGCAGGAAAACGCAACTGGCCATTAGAAACAACTTGACAAAACCGTGAGACGTGCTGTAGAGATGATGGGCTAGACTGGATTATTATTATTATTATTATAGACAACACCTCATGGCATGAAAAGAAAATCAGCCAGTATGGGAGATGGCTTGAGTCATTCAGAATAGGAATGAAATACATGTAGAGGGGATTTCGTCAACTGGACAGTATTTTTTTAAACAGGGTTGAGAGCAGGAATAGGAAAGAAGGCGCGAGATGTGTATAGATAGATATACCTGAATGAGTATGGATAGATATACATAAATGTGTATGGCTATCGACCCGGAGGACTCCGCTATTTGTAAATGTGTATGGTAAATGTGTATAGAGAGATATACACGAATGTGTGGTGTACATTGTACAGTGAATTTATATACACTGTGTTATTGAGTCGCTATCTAAAAATGGTGTGGTATGTATGTTGTACGAATGCCTTTGGCAATAGCCCCATTGGAATGGTCATGACGGCAGAGATCATTAAGTGTTTTTCGGGATGACATTGGATGACCTTGTTCCATTGTCTGCACCTAGAGATGAGTCTTGTCTGCAGAGAGAAGAATTGAATTTCCTGACGGAGAAGTGTGAGCCAAGACAATCCTAGAGATAGAATGTAAATACAAGAACATAAATGAATTGATCAGATGTTAATTGGGAATAGTATTGGCTGAAATTGGTCCTGGAAGAAACTTCTAATTAAGCCGTAGGTTCGAAATACGCCGTATTAAAATCATCAGAAATCTACCAATAGCAAGAAGCAGGGGTTTGCCAACTGACTACCCCTCTATGCAGTTGCATAGAGGGGGAGTTCCATTTTCTTTTAGGAACTGCTAAATTTAGTAAATTATTATGAAAATAAGTGAACACGACACAGTCTGAACAATAAAGTTGAAGATGGCTTACATTTCTTATTGTAGACCTTGAAAAAGAAGATGAGGTTCAGGGCAACACTGGCAGCGAAGAAAATACCTCTTATGATAGATACTGCAACTGAAATGTCGGAGCTGCATTGACTGTAACCATGGCCAACAGCGGTATCAACTGGTGCTGCAAAATACAACAGAAAACACACATCCTTGTAAGTATAGATCCTGTGAGACATTAACAAGAATTGTTCAGGCTTCAAATGGCATTATGATACAACATACAAAAAGTTATCCATGTCAACACCACGTCATAACCTGATATTTTCAACTTCCAATTCAGCATTATTCATCTATAATCCATAGGATATTAGTCCTACATGGTCCAGAGGGTATGGTGCTGGTTCATAACCAGATGCATAGCTTTAGGATGACATTGTGCACCACAGCTCAAGGATAGGAGGGTGAAACAATATTTAACTTTCTTCATGGAGTGTAGGAATATTTCGCATCAGATTTCGTTACAACTCGGGAGAAAATTCATCACATTCTTTTGAGTGGTATGCTGTGTTGTGAGTAGAGTGTAAGTTAGCAGAATTGCATAGGTGTAGGGTGCCACTTGGTGAACTGCAGTAGCAGCGGGGAATAAAGGGCATGGATACACCATACCGGATCATCATGGACCAAATGAGCCTTCCGATTGGCATAGTGGACAGCCCGACAACAGATGTAGTTACCGTACTGGCGCGATTAGGGACCCTGGGGCACTTTTTTTTCAATGTCCATCACAGATGGGCTACAATTCAAGAGGGGGCTCTCATCACACAAGAATGGCATGGCATGTGCGTTACACTGGACGTTTGTTATGAGCATTGCTCTAACCAACTGAGCTATTGGATCGGGCCAAACCTAAAAGGCACTGGCAAGTTTTTCACTCAAAAGGCAGCTCACAACACGTGCCACACAGACTGATGGCACATGGATCACTTTCCCTCCAAAGGGGGACTGCCCGGAAACAGAAAATGCCAGCCCCACCAGGACTCAAACCCGGGGCCTTGCTTGTCATGAACAATGCTCTAACAATCTAAGCTAAGGGACCAGGCCAAACCTAGAAGCTGTGAGCTGCTTTTTGAGTGAGAACGTGTCAGCGCCAGCTAGGTTTGGCCTGGTCCAAAGGTTTAGATGGGTATTGTTGGGTTCGCCTGGAGCCACGCAGGAGTCCATTGTTGGAAAAGACGAAGACTGATTTATTTACAACGAGCATGCACAATTATAGATGAGAGAGATACAATACGGAGAGGGACAATACGGCGACAAACACTATACACAACAGTTATAGCACATCTCGTGACAAGCAAGGTCCCGGTTCGTGTCCTGGTCGGGTTGACATTTTTCTCTTTCCAGGCAGTTCCTTCCTCGGTGTGATTAAAGATGCCAAGCTGTCGTGGGATCCTCACATTGAGGTGATCATCACCAAAGCTACCCGACGAGCACTGTCCGGTAAATCACGACGCATGTTTATTCAAGCAGTGATCATGATCGACTTCCTTTATGGGTCAAACGCATTCCTTGCCGGGCTACCTGGCTGCCAGTTAGACTGCCTGCGAACACTGCACTAGGGTCGGTCTGGTCCCATACCTCAGATAGCTCCAGTATTGTTCATGACAAGCATGGTCCCGGGTTTCGAGTCCTAGTGGGGTTGGCCTTTTTCTCTTTCCAGGCAGTTCACTTCCCCCGACTGATACTTTGGATTTCACGATCTACCAGTCCTTAAAAAAAAACATAAACCCCTACTTCCCTCTGTGTATCTCTTGTGCACTGCACTCTGCTCATCATAGAAATTAGGCATTCCAGCAGGTTAAGGAGCACTGCCTCTGTGTAATGTGTGGTATATGGTGAGGGATATGCAATCAAACATGTGTACCTGAGCAAGCGAAGATTTCCTTTGTCCACATTCCACTTTTCTGGCATGTGATCAGTTGATGGCGTTGTGACCAGTTACCAGAAACATACAGGCCTTCTCTGCATGTGACATTAAGTGAAGTGTTTCCTGAGAAGTTCAGTTTCATCAGATTGATAATTTCTGGGGTGAGTGTACTTGCAACAGACACAGCCCACGCTAGTTCACTGGGCAACTTGCAGAAAGCAGGAGGTATTGGTTGATAAGTTGGTTTATCAGTGACATCAGGTTGTACTCTGGCTGCAGCTGTTGAAGTGCCTAAAGTGACACGATGTCCAGGACCGACCGAGTTGACAGCAAACACCGTGATCAAAACACTTCTGCTCTCCTTTAGTCCAGTTATGGTGTAGAGTGGCATTGCAATGTTGATATCGTTGCTCACTCTCTCCTCAGAATCTCCTCTGAGAACACTATACTGAATTATGTAGTATAGACTACCACCTGGAGCAGGGTCAAAACCAAAGGAGAATAACAAAATGATGAGTTGTTTGCTATTATAAATTGTGCTTGAGTATGCTGAATGCTGCTGAAGATAGTTACTAGTATAGTAGATTGGCTATATTATAGTTGTCCGAGCATAGATCTGCTGAGAGTTGTAGAGCAACAAACGTTATCATGAACGGTATCATAGGACTTCGGCGATGATTGATAGGAAAGGGTTTGTTCCCCACACTGGAGCTTGCGCTATTCCGCCGTCTTGACTTGACACTTGACTGACTCACGACTGCCATCCAGAGCACACGAGAAGCCCATCGAACCTTTGACTCAGCAAACCTGCGAGAAAGCACCACTCCCAGCTTAAATATGCATGTGTTCTTGAATATGGATCCACCATACATCAGGGGTTATAGGCCTACAGACCATGCTCTTGAAAACATTACTCACCGTTAGTTGTTTCTGGTGCTTGCCATCTTGCCTGTAGTACAGAGCTTGATATGGGTATGGCTGTCAAATTCCTTACTGGTCCTGGAGCTGGATTTGTGAAGGAGAAAAAGTGAAAAGGAAATAATTGAGTGGAATCTGATGCAAGTCTCCATTATCCACCAAAGTTAATAAATTCCATTGGGTCAAATTTACTCCATCTGCGGACAGAACGGTTTCGTCATTTGTGCATATAGATTTCTAATTGCTCACTTGGCAATTGTCACACTTTTCATCTTTACGATTACCACACACCATGCATATTCTTGCATACTAGTATACTGTGACATTTTCTCAATGCATCCTGCAGTTTTGCATGCGGATGCAGTTTTTGGTGCTCCGCCCAAATGTGAGATTTTGACTCTTTTCGTAGTTCGGCGAGCCTTTGGCTCCCGTTGCCCCCGGAAACGATATGAATGCTGAGATAGGCCTCATCCTGCTCGGCCTTGACAGACTGAGAGAGCTAGGACGGCACCAGGGTATTGCCGGATGCGATGGCCTCGCAAGACCGGAACTTGTCTGGGCGCTGCGGGACGCTGGCGTTGGATCTCACTGGACCTGTAGCAGTAAGTCGCAGTCTGACACACTGACTAGCCTAGTAGACCAGGTCACTTGCCTCACCAAGAAGCTGTCCTTGATCGCATCAATGAAGGCCGAAATACTTACATTGAAGGCAGATTTGGCCGATCTGCGTGCATTGTCTGTACCCCATGACAGTTTGCAGAGCTACCATCACCCTGTTGTAGCTCTTTTGAAAACAGCCCAACCTGCTGTCACCGTACAACCTCAGAACCTACGCACATCACCAAATGCAACCCAGATTGAAACCAGGCCCGCCAAAACTTGAACGGTACCCATCTTCCTCCAGCACTGTAATGTACAGCACCACAGTACAGGCTGGGCAGAAGGGCCCAAATATGGCATACAACACACACTGAGACCACCGTTCCCTCGACACGAGTCACATCGTACTACAAGAGCCGCCCAAAGCCCTCGGAACAGCTGTCAGAAGGGTCCTGCACAAAGTGTTGCGCACTATATTTGGGCACCGTAAAGAGTGGATGCTCCTCTGACTCGATTGCCAAGTGGTGTACAAGACGAGAAATACAAGTGATAAAATTCTCCGTTTCGAAACCAAGTACTTTGGAGTGGCATTCGCCCACATCGTCATTCCAGCGGAACACAAGGAAGCAGCCCTTGGCCCAGATCTCTGGCCTCCAGAGGTCACTGCAAGAGAATGGCGCTTTAAGCAGGACAGGATCACCTATGACCACGGTTCAAATCAGTAAACCTGTCTTGTCTACGCTCTAAATGATGACAAATTGGCTATATCCCTGTATCCCCTCCCTTTTGAATATGAAATGTATTTCACCAATAAAATAAGGCTTAGAATGTTTAAACATGAATATCGACGGAGTTGCCCCTTCTGCTCATGTCTTGCCCCGCTCTAGTAATTGTTCATGAATCCGCCCAGTCCACATTCCTCCTCTGTTTCTCTCCGTTTTTCTTTCCTTTCAGTTGCATCTTCCTTTCTGCTCTGTTTTACTTTCTCTTTTCATTCGACCCTCTTGATATTTGTACTTTGTACTGTTGAGGCAACGAACTGAAATAATAAAAAAAACCAAACCAAAAACCAAAACAAAACATTTTCTGACAAATTGTGTGTACATGATGTTTGTGTGTTCTAGAATATTCATCTGGCTGTCTAGCTGTAGTTATATTTCTTGTTGACCTCTTCTTCCTTATCAATTTCCTGATGACGCCCAATAAGTGAATTACTGGCGAACATTTATTCAACTCGGATGGTGAGCCAAATAAATTATGTTAAAAAAGGAGGACAAAATGTTACGAGTTATGACTAACTGTCCACCAAGATAACCAGATCTTATACAGTCAGCGATTGAGGTCAGGTCGCCGAATGTCTCAGTACTCCTTTGTCAGTTTTGTGCCATTTTGTCGCACTCGCTGACTGTATAAGATCTGATTACGTTGGTGGACAGTTAGTCATAACTTGTAACATTTTGTCCTCCTTTTGAACATTTATTCGTTAATTTTGTACAACAAAGAGCCTGTTTGTTTGTGAGACAGAGAATAGATGTGTTCAAAAATTTGTCAATTTCAGATGGAGAGCCAAGGATTGAATTTAAAAGAAAGGACCTTAACGTTACATGTTATCTGTAGTTTGTGTCCAGCACTAACAGTTATAAGCAAGATCTTGTCAGTATTGTGCTAGCTGTTGCACTTTCTGACTACACAATATCTAGCTTATAACTGTCATTGTTGGACACAAACTACGGATAACATGCAACATTTTGGTCCTTTCTTTAAAATTTGTCAGTTTCCTTTTCTTTAAAATACTTGCCAGTTATTCCCTTGCTTATTACTCCGTACGTACCTAGCCTCTGAGTTACGAGCCACCTCCTTGCTTTAACACCAAGACCCACTCCATTAACGGCTGCAGCAGCAATCTGGTACCTTGTAAAATGCCGCAAGCCAGATAGTGAAATTGAGTTACTGACCCAACCTTTAGTGGGAGAGATATGGGAAGAAACACATGATTCAAATGAAGATAGATAAGAAGCAGGAAAGAAAGCAAAAAAGAAAATGATCGCAGGAGAAGAAGCCAGATAATAGAATGAACAAAACGAAGAGCTTCAAGAAAGTAAGTGTGTGCTGCTCCCTAAGACGGAGCTGCCGCCTTTCTCGCTCACTTGACCAGACAGTGCGAATCAGTTTCATGCATGGAGGTGCCAAACAAGCTGAACAGAACATGGAATATGATTTGCATTTAAGCTGGGTACAGTCATGAATGCACCATGTACTTACTTTCATGAACTCGAATAGATCCGTGCAGAGAACAGTTGTAGAGTTGACATTGACAATCTTCTACTTTGTTGCACCCAATAGCATCGTAACTGATCTCATAGCCAATGAGAGTACCATGGGAAAGAGCAGGTGGCAGTGGCTGCAGGTTTTCAGGATACGAGTCACGCATAGACAAAACTGGCATTATTTTCACCAAAGCAGTGACAAAGGATTAGCTTTGCTTTTAATTAAATAGTATTCCGTGGCAACTATTCGCAGCTGGACAAGTTGGTGAGATGCAGAGACAGCCCTAAACGAACTAAACCTTATTTGATACATGTTTTGCGAATATACCATGGCATGGAATGCTTGGTGGATGTATCTGGCTTGGCCCAGCATGCACATCTGGTATTGTAGATTCTTCCCAGCCATGAAAAAATTCTTTGCTTGGCTTCTTTCCTTCTGACAAGTCTGCATCCTACACCAGACCTGCATATGACAGGAATTGAGTTTTCAAGTCCATAGCATGCAGCAAGTGCAGGCAACAATGTTACCTTATTATTATTAACTATAGTACTCTGTGCTTCCCTGAACATCTATACTAATATTAAGATTGTTCTCAACCACTCCATTAGAGCCAACTGTAACTACGTTCCATTTCGCCTTTTCCTGATCAGTTATGTCGACGTTCACCCATGATTTCGGATGTTATTTTTACCATCTTGGAAGATGCCCAGAGCTCCAAATATAGGCCCATAGATCACTCATTCAGTGGACATTTTAAAGCCATTACTGGATGATGACAACTAGTAAGGCTATTGGACATACCGTTGGTGGACAGTTAGTCATAACTCGTAACATGTTGTCCTTCTTCTTTTCACAATAATTCAATTGGCTCACCATCCCAGTTAAAAAATATCCTCGCGCTATTCCGCCGACTTGACTTGAAACTTGACTGACTCACGCCTGCCATCCAGAGCACACGAGAAGTCCATCGAACCTTCGACTCAGCAAACCTGCAAGAAAGCACCAGTCCCTGCTCAATACACAGTGTTTCGGGGAATTCATCCCTCGTCAGTTGCGCTTGAGTAGGCTGAGGAAAATTGTTCCTGAAGAGCACCACTTTTATACTGCTCTCCAGGCACAAACATCAACAGGGATACAAACTTACAGAGATGCTTCGTTTCCAGTGCGAATAACACCTCGTGAACACCAGATAGCAGCGCGAGTCAGTGTCGTTCCTGGTCGGTGAGAACAGACGAAGGGGACCCTCTGTCATTCAAAACGCTGTCACCTCCAAACCAGCTAGTCGCAAGCCCGCGCTGGGCACAACAGTACGAAATAGTGGTTAATCGACTTCGGCGATAAAAAAATTTTGGAATGGATTTGCTCTCACACAGGAGCTCGCGCTATTCCGCCGACTTAACTTGACACTTGACTGACTCACCACTGCCATTCAGAGCACATGAGAATTCCAACGAACCTTCGACTCGGCAAACCTGCAAGAAAGCACCAGTCCCTGCTCAATACACAGTGTTTCGGGGAATTCACCCCTCATCAGTTGACCTTGAGTAGACTGAGGAAGACTGTGCCTGAAGAACACCACTTATATATATTTATTACAACATCTCAAGACTCGGTGGAAACACCGGCCAATGTGAAGAGAGTGGGTGATTGCCAACCACAGCGATAAATAAAAGTAAGGGGAGGGAAAAAGAAAGAGTAGCAAAATGAACAGCAACAACAACCCCGTAAAGAAATATAATGTCTAATAAAAAGAGTGATAAACACAGAGACGCAAAGGACATGTGGATAATGAGCTATTTATGTCATAGTAAATAAGGGGCAGCACGGATCTTAAACAGGCGGAGTGAGGTCAGATCCTTAACTTCTACAGGTAGAGTGAGCCAAACAGAATAAGCAATAAAGAGAGGGGTGTATATAGTGCTCTCCAGGCACAAACATCACCAGGGATACAAACTTACAGAGACGCTCCATTTCCACCGCGACTTACACCTCGTGAACACCAGATAGCAGCGTGAGTCAGTGTCGCTCCTGGACGGTGAGAACAGACGAAGAGGAGCCTCGGTCATTCACAACGCTGTCACCTCCAAAGCAGCTACTTCGAAATAGTCGCAAGCCCGCGCTGGGCACAACAGTACGAACAGTGCGAGCTCCTGTGTGGGAGCAATCCCATTCCTAAAAAACTCATCGCCGAAGTCGCAACCACTATTTCGTAAAAATATCCTGTCCATTTAATTACAAATGGTTGAAAGGGGTCAGGAGTGATGATATTAGCATGAAGATTGACCCAAACCAGAAATTCAGCTTTTTATGTACTTCTATCCCAGAACCATCTGGGACATGCAGATAGAATCCACTGTGTGCGAGATCTATGAGTGTGCGAGATTTATGAGTGTGCGAGATTTATGAGTGTCAGTTATCATGTTGTCAAGGAGGGAGTGTGCGAGATTTACGAGTATGATTGTGAGTATGATTGTGAGTGTGATTGGACAGGACACTGCGATGAAATAGAATGAGTGTCGTTGTGATAACATCACTGAGTGTGTTGTTACGATACAGTGTTTGTTGTGCGTGTTGTCGGATACGCCGATATAATTAGTTGCATAGATAGTACTTACGTGGTTGCTTGCATTCTCGCTCTCCACAGGAACTCTACTGCGTGCTGCATTCTATGTATTCCTATTCTGTACACTGACTCTCTCTGACAGGGTCTGCTGTCACCCTGTCTCTGGGCGCAAGCACCCTCTGACAGACCAAACCGATTCGCTTCATCTCCACAATATTTATGTTCTTTCGATTTGAATTTCTGTTTGTTCTGCACTCTGACTTTTCCTTGTTGCACCTGCGCTTTTGGACACGGAACCTTGCTGTCGCCACTATTTATATAATATATATCCATGGTTACGTTGTGGTAAGACTCATCGATGCATCATGCATGATTCATTGTGATCATCTGCTTTTCTGCTTCGATCTTCATGCATGCACGCACTGATGTACACATAAGCCAATGCACGCACGCGTGCACATTTTGCTGATGACAGCGATTTGGTGATCGTTGTTCTTTGGTTTCTGGTTGATTTGAGAGTATGGTTGAAGCCAATAATTAAATACAGTCTTCTAGTTGTCTCCAGGAAAAGGCCAGGAAATCGCGCTACAACAGGGGTGTGAAGACTTGTGGTCGATAATTTCACACACTGTGGCTATTCAAGGTGTTGCAAACAATTTGCCTGATACATTCTTCACTGAATGCCTCAGTGCTCTGTGAACTGCCCAGATCCTGCTTTCATTCTATATATTTTAATAGGGATATGGACTTGATGAATAATAACACTATGTAGGCATACACATACTAAGTGATGCATTGTGGATGAGGTGTGAGTGCAAGGGGACTTCCTAACCTTAAACCCTATCGTCGCATGACCTGGTGATGTTGAGACAGCAGTGAGGCCTTGGGGTGCCGCAGACCCTGCAAGTTAGGGATACAAATTGAGGAAACACAGAAAAACAGTAGGCCTCTCTCCCTCTCTCCCTCTCTTACCCTATCCGCTTATTCCAGTGCATAGTTCTGGCAATGCAGCCAAGACAGTCTATCAGATGCACTGGGATGATCATGTTGTGTGGCCAGTACCATTAGCTGTCTCTGCACTCTCCTGCTTCATTCCCATCCATCATTAAAATGGGAAGGACTGTGTTTCGCTTGCCTGATCATGCACTGTCATACGAGCTTCCCTATCCAAAAGGTGATTTAGGGCATTTCCAACATCAAAAATGCACCTATTACACGGTCAACAAGATCTGAAGGGTTACTATGAAAAGCTCTCTCAATACAACTTCGAAGTAAAACCCTAAATATTGGTACACCGTATTCTTTTCTTCATCGTTCGTCTTTTGTTGTACTGTTTCACCCTGCCGATGATTAATGCCCAGCTACTTGGTGTTGAATAGCAAAGAGCACAATATGTGAGCCAGGGTTCAGAATAATGAATATTAAAGTGGCAGGAATACAGTTTGGGGATCCTTTTAAAAGGGTCGTGTGATTGACTTGAGGCAAAGGCGTAACGCATCCCACGAGCATTAAGTTAGCGCCTACACTAACTCCCTCATTCATCTTATTCCCGCATTCACGTAATCTACACTTGCATCGTTAGTATCACCTATGCTCAACCCTATTATATATATACCCTGCTATCTACTCCCATTGAGTATCCATTCCTCGGCTCAAGACGTTGTTAGAAAAGGAAAGTGGTCAGATCTGAGACGGGCCTTAACAGTGAGAAAACACTGCGAGGACACCCTTCCATGGCCTCCACAATTTTAGCATTTCTATTTAGACTGATGATTTGATTAACTGGTGACCAAGAAAACTGTTCTTAAAAAAGGTATCGCTGTATGTATGGACTCGGATGCAGAGGATACATTTACAGAAAAGAAAAAAGGACCAATGAACCACAAGTTACGCCATAATGTCCACTAACACCACTAGTTACTAAACAATGGGCTCATGCGATACCATTTCCAAATTGGAAGGCTGTCGGAGTGCGCATCCAAGGTGTGTAGGAGCTGTTAGCCAGTTAGTTGTAGAAGTGCCTTTTGTGTGTCATACTGGAAATATGATACACATACATGTCGAACAAGTAACTTAGTCGTGTGATGTCTGCGACCTTCATTTTATTCATAACAGTTAGCTCTGACATAATTTCTTACACAAATATTTCGAAATTTTAGTCGGCGTCGCCCGTCAAACTGATGGAACTAAAAAAGAAAAAGAAAAAGGTTTAGGAATTAGGATCCCTTCTGGCTATTCTTGTTGCATACTCCAGTGAAGAAGCAATCCCAAAAAGAAATAAAGAAAAAAGAAAAAAACTAGTCAAATTCTGGATTCGAACCCACAACCCCGGCGAGGGTTGTGGGTTCGAGGAGACAAGGAGACGAGGAGACGAGGAGACAAAAATGGTTTCGATAGAAATAATGTGAACGCACTCATACCACGACATCAGAGGAACAATAAGTACGGATTTTAACGTCGTTATCATGTGACAATAGAGAGGTTAAGTTTCAGGTAAATTTCTTATGTCCGTGAACTTTTACGTCAAAAAATTAAAAAAACTCACGTAAAATTTGACGTGTTTTACGTGAGTTGACTGTCCGCACGTAAGTTCGTGACGTGGGTTTTTGGAAGTTTCGCTTGGTTACCCCGATCGATTTTGTGTGACTTTCCGTAGTTTTATCGAGTTTTATCGAGTTTATTGGAAGATTTGATATTTGTGCGAACTAAACCCGAATCCTGCTGTTGTGAAACCACAAGGTCACGAGAGTGAAAGGCCTTCTCGCTTGTGACATTGTGTTCGCTTCAATGCAGTTGTATCCCGACTCCGCCATACCGCTGATATTTACGACGTTGTATACGGTACAGGCGCTAAGTGCGGTTTGCTGTGTGCGCTGTACTTGTATGTTGTGTGCGTATGCTTTTCTCATATACGCTGTCATTTTCACGCTATAACTACCTGGTGGTTTTAGTGTTATTCATTGTTCATTATTATTAGTCGATGGAAATGAAATATACTGTTGAGAATAAATAGTTGTCCTCGTGCCGTGTGGTCGTTCGTTCCTGACACTTTAGAGAACCAGAGGGTTCACAACATCACGCCGGGATACGAAGTGAGCATGGCACAGGAACTATGGATTATTGAAGCCCACTTTATCGCCAATGGAATTCTGTTAGGATTGGAAGGCGATGAGTTGAGGGAACATGTGAAGAAGAGACTCCGACAGTGCGAGGAGTTTGAACAGCGCAGTGCTAGACGGCAAGAGGGTGCGCTCCGCACATAGTTAAACGAAAAGCTCAAGACGATGACATCGGTCGGAGTCGCTCAGAAGCAGCTGGAGTCTCGGCCGAAAGACGTAGAGGCGCAAGACGTAGAGGCGCAAGACGTAGAGGCGCAAGATGTAGAGGCTCAAGACGTAGAGGCGCAAGATGTAGAAGCGCAAGACATAGAAGCGCAAGACGTAGAAGCGCAAGACGTAGAAGCGCAAGGCGTAGAAGCTAAGGAAATAAGAAGGGTGATACTGGTTAGCACGGAAGAAGTGAGCGGCGAGACTGTGTGGAACCCGGAGATCGGATGTATGTTATCTGGTCCAGCGTCCGCCCCACGAGGCAGTGGCCCCGTGACCGTGTCGTGTGTGACAGCCCAGATCTGCAAGCTTGGTGAAAGTATCGGTTGTGTGTTGTCTGGTCCAGCGTCCGCCCCACGTCGAAGTGGACCGGTGACCGTTTCTTGTGTGACATCCCACAGGGGCAAGCTTCGTGTGCTGCTGGACTCGGGTGCCAAGGCGTCATCTGTGATTGCAGCATTGGTGTCCACAATCGATGCAGAGCACGTTGGTGTTAAGAATGTTGAGGTGAAGCCGTCCGGTGCGGAATCAACCCAACAGCGGATGGACAAGTTCGCCATTACGATCCTAGGTAGCTCCGTAGTCATTCCGGTATGTGCTCTCGTGAAGCCAACGTTAGAGCTTGATCTGAAATGCGCAAGCCTGCAGACCATTGCTCCCTTGGCAGAAATGGTGAGCACTAGTAATATTCCACCTTGGCCACCCCCACAGCATCAGATGACTCGTTCTGGGCGTGTAGTCAGAGCCCCGGTCGTTTTTGACTTATGAGTTGTTGTACGGCGGTGAGAAGCCCTTTGGTGGGGAGAATGTTGTGAAACCACAAGTTCTCGAGAGTGAAAGGCCTTCTCGCTTGTGACATTGTGTTCGTTTCAATGCAGTTGTATCCCGACTCTGCCGTATCGCTGATGTTGACGACGTTGTATACGCTACAGGCTTGCTGTGTGCGCTGTACTTGTATGTTGTAGGCGTATGCTTTTCTCATATACGCTGTCATTTTCACGCTATAACTACCTGGTGGTTTTAGTGTTAGTTATTCATTGTTCATTATTATTAGTCGATGGTAGTGAAATATACTGTTGAGAATAAATAGTTGTCCTCGTGCCGTGTGGTCGTTCGTTCCTGACACTTTAGAGAACCAGAGGGTTCACACTAGAGAGTTTTCGCACGGCGTGCAACGTGACAACGCCGAACGCGAGGCTATTCACTTGCGTGACGCACTTGAAAAGAGCTTTCGCAGCAGGTGAACATGGTGAACCATTAGAACTTTGCGTAAATCGCACGTGCTGGGCCATCAAGTGCCAACGTGATGAGGCCGGTTTCCACGTTGGCAACGCGCGTTTGCCTCGCTTCTGAACGTGGCACGTGACCTTCGAACGCGTCAAGTGAGCGCGTTGCACGCCGTGCGAAAACTCTCTACTGTGTGTGAGTGACACCCGCCAGGCAAAATTTCACGTCACATCGCACGTGTAACTTAACCTCTAAAAAATTACACGTAACGTGAGGTTTGCACCGCGTTTTGAAAAAAGGCAAAACACGTGTAACTTAACCTCTCTAATCATCAGAAATCTTCGTCACACTGAGAGTTGGACGCTATCCAATGCTATCCCTTCATGGACATACTATTTCCTTTGTACTATTCCAGGAACGATAATGACACATGCACCGTCAGACTAAATTAGTTGAGAAGACTACATTCATCGTGGAAAACGATGCAATTGTGCATGCCCTGTTTCAGTACAATTTTAGTTGATGTGGTGAGGCGCTTTTGTGAATTTAATAGGTGAACATGTTAAGCAAGAAGTGCTCTTCGTATTTCATGTGATCTTTGAATATCCTTTGCTTTCTTCTTATTGGTATTGTGCCGCATGGGGTGATGTTAGGAAGATGTCAGAAACAGTCAGATAATGAAAGACAAAATTTGAACTGGGTACAAAACAGCTGGAGAGCTATGATTCTTTCAATCACTGATGAAAATATTCATTTGAAACTGAATGCACAGTACAAAAATGAGGGAGTAGCTTACGTGATTCGGGAGTCTCCAGTTTCAGTCTGGGACTTGGACCACTTGAACCAGCTGCATTTTCTGCATGATACCGGCAGGTGTACTTGGTGGCTGGTTGAAGTTCAATAATTGTGACAGTATTGAGTGGAACACTTTGAACAGCGTCCTTCACATAAGATCTGTACTCTGCATCTGGTTTACAAATGACTTTGTAACTTGTTACAGGTAGATTTCCTTTGTATGATGGTGATTGAAGATTGAGAGTGACTGAAGTTGCTCTTAGTGAATTCTGGACAATACGTGCCGGGCTAGGGGCAATAAGAAACCTGGGAATATCTGTCAATGAAAGAAGTAATCAAGAACAGTGGTTCATTGGCAGAAGAGGGGTCAATTCCGCCCTACTAAGGCAGAGCAAGTGATTTTCGGGTTACCGGCATTTCAAAGTTATGGGTAGTGCCCGGTCCTGGAACGCCCAGAAAAACGAGGTACGAGTGTACTAACATTTCCTTTAGTTCACTTCAACCCGTAGTTTTGAGCTTCTGACTACAACACTCATATTCGAAACAGCAGTCAAAAAGTCAATGACTATCCAAGTATCAATCTGTAAATTTAACAAGCGGTAACTCGCTCATTTGTTCTTCATTTCTACACCATTTTGGTGCCAAAAGAAGCAAAAGGCCCATCATTAAATTTGCAGAAAAGACAACTTCATAGCATGCTCCTACTCCACGTGGCTCCAACTGCCTCCCAGTGTTAGACAAGCTCCAGATATGCGCAAATTCCGTACCCTCGTCAGACAGCACTTCAGTATCTCCCAGGAAACAAAGTCACAGTCACCACTTCCGCTGCATAGCTTGCTGAGCATCCCATTGCTCTTTAAGTTGCTAATCCCTTCCCACTTTGTGTACGTGCTCTTCATTTTCTTTTTTCTCTTCTTCTTCCGTGGTTGGTCTCACCCTCTCCTCAAATCAATTGGCTGTCTTGACATGCCACGAGGTGCAGAAATAAATAAATAAATAAATAATGCGCAAAGGAGAAATTATCAGTCTCCAATAGAGGTGTAATATTGGCAATAAAAAATTAATTTTAGAATTGCGATCAACAGAACGAGCTGAACCGACATTTCACAAAGGCTTTTATTGTATTCAAAAAACGAGTGGATACGAAGGCAGTGAAGAAGAAGGCAGGACGTCGTTGAGGAGGATTCGGCCAGTGAGTCCAGTGAGTCCGGTGAGTGTGAGAGCGAGAATGATTGTGTGAGTAAGAGTGGGTGCGAGCGTGTGTTTTCTAGTAGGAAGTCATCAGTGTATAAGCATCTTGTATCTCGTCCTGATTGCTACAAGGTTTATTCTGATTCTTCTTTTTCTGTTTTGTGCCGTGCTCGTCATGGTTATAAGTTGCAGTTGAGTGCGTTAGAAGCTGTTTGTCAACGTATTCATAAGCCTAATCTGTGTGTCCAGAAGGACAGCATTATTCGTTTGAAATTGTTTTAGTAGCAGCTTGTTCTGTCTGTTTGGCCCTGGTTGGCCACGGTGTCATATCTTGTGTCACAGTATACTAGTAGTCCTTACAAGTTCGTTAAGTGCTTTCGCAGTTTTTCCTGTTATTAGTGCTAGGATTATCATTTTCATAGGTGTTGTTTCTTCTCACTCCTTTTCTCTTTATTAGTATCTTTCTGGATTGTTTTTCATTAGTACAACGTAGCTTCCTGAGGAGTGTTGTGCGAAAACTAGTTCGAAGTACGATGTTTGTTCATCATTTTTTCCATATCACATTTTTTCTTTCTTACAATACCTACCTCAATATCAACGAGACCCAGAAGAACAACTGCTAATTACACCATGACCTATTTCAGTACGGAAGTACCGAGCCAACGGAATACACAACAGGAACGTGAGACGAGGGATGGGAGGAGACGGGACCTGATTGCTCCAAGGCAGGACGTCGTTGAGGAGGATTCGGCCAGTGAGTCCAGTGAGTCCAGTGAGTGTGAGAGCGAGAATGATTGTGTGAGTAAGAGTGGGTGCGAGCGTGTGTTTTCTAGTAGGAAGTCATCAGTGTATAAGCATCTTGTATCTCGTCATGATTGCTACAAGGTTTATTCTGATTCTTCTTTTTCTGTTTTGTGCCGTGCTCGTCATGGTTATAAGTTGCAGTTGAGTGCGTTAGAAGCTGTTTGTCAACGTATTCATAAGCCTAATCTGTGTGTCCAGAAGGACAGCATTATTCGTTTGAAATTGTTTTAGTAGCAGCTTGTTCTGTCTGTTTGGCCCTGGTTGGCCATGGTGTCATATCTTGTGTCACAGTATACTAGTAGTCCTTACAAGTTCGTTAAGTGCTTTCGCAGTTTTTCCTGTTATTAGTGCTAGGATTATCATTTTCATAGGTGTTGTTTCTTCTCACTCCTTTTCTCTTTATTAGTATCTTTCTGGATTGTTTTTCATTAGTACAACGTAGCTTCCTGAGGAGTGTTGTGCGAAAACTAGTTCGAAGTACGATGTTTGTTCATCATTTTTTCCATATCACATTTTTTCTTTCTTACAATACCTACCTCAATATCAACGAGACCCAGAAGAACAACTGCTAATTACACCATGACCTATTTCAGTACGGAAGTACCGAGCCAACGGAATACACAACAGGAACGTGAGACGAGGGATGGGAGGAGACGGGACCTGATTGCTCCAAGGCAGGACGTCGTTGAGGAGGATTCGGCCAGTGAGTCCAGTGAGTCCAGTGAGTGTGAGAGCGAGAATGATTGTGTGAGTAAGAGTGGGTGCGAGCGTGTGTTTTCTAGTAGGAAGTCATCAGTGTATAAGCATCTTGTATCTCGTCCTGATTGCTGCAAGGTTTATTCTGATTCTTCTTTTTCTGTTTTGTGCCGTGCTCGTCATGGTTATAAGTTGCTGTTGAGTGTGTTAGAAGCTGTTTGTCAACGTATTCATAAGCCTAATCTGTGTGTCCAGAAGGACAGCATTATTCGTTTGAAATTGTTTAGTAGCAGCTTGTTCTGTCTGTTTGGCCCTGGTTGGCCATGGTGTCATATCTTGTGTCACAGTATACTAGTGTTAGGTACCTCCTCCCGTACCTTTTCTAGCTGGCCTGCATGCACTTGCGTACACACCTTTTGTCTCCTTTTGCTCCGTTGGCCTGGGTAGCTACTTGCGCGCCCATATTTGCCATAGCTACCCAGGCCCTTTATCTTCCCGTTTATACTTGATCTCTTTCTCTCTTTCCTCACTCTTCAATGTAGTCGTTTCGTTCGTCTTGGTCTCTTGTCTCGTCGTCTATAATAAATGTCGTTCCCACTAACCTGTTCCTGTTGTAATGTCTGGATATGTCGTCAGTCGTCCTGTTTCGAACTCAACATTGGCGCCCGATTATTGATTGACCCACGACCCTGAGATCATCCCATGCCCAGCCGTCCTCAACCACCATTCGTCTCGTCTATATCAACCTCGTCTCGTCCATGTCAGTCTCGTCTCTCCTATGCCAACCTCGTCTCGTCTCTATCAACCTCGTCTCTCCTACGCCAACCTTACCTCGTCTATTCTCGTTCAAGCCATGCAGGTCAGCTACCTTTCTCTCTTTCTTTTTTTTTGTATGCTTCTTCGTCAAATTTATTTTCGTGAATTTTTTGTAGTGTGTGTGCGCGCGCGTGTGTTCGTAAAACATTACCAAGTTAGGGGTCCGATCATGGTGAGCCACGCTCTAATTTTTGGATGTTTAGCAAAAGTGTAACTAGGCTGTATTAGCCGTGCAAAATACTAGTAATTCACGTTCCTCGTCAAACTCCAATTGTTATTTCACACAATAAGTAGTACAGGAATGATCTGTACGAGTGCATTTTAGTACACACTTTCGTGAGATCCATGCGCGCGTGCAGTATGTGTGTGTGTGTGTGTGTTTTCTCCTCCAGTTCATTTTTTTTAAATCTTTTCCTCTCTTTTTTTTCTCTCCGCGAGGACGCGGGATTTTTTTTCATGGAGGGGTGGTATGTTAGGTACCTCCTCCCGTACCTTTTCTAGCTGGCCTGCATGCACTTGCGTACGCACCTTTTGTCTCCTTTTGCTCCGTTGGCCTGGGTAGCTACTTGCGTGCCCATATTTGCCATAGCTACCCAGGCCCTTTATCTTGCCGTTTAGACTTGATCTCTTTCTCTCTTTCCTCACTCTTCAATGTAGTCGTTTCGTTCGTCTTGGTCTCTTGTCTCGTCGTCTACTAGTATAATAAATGTCGTTCCCACTAACCTGTTCCCGTTGTAATGTCTGGATATGTCGTCAGTCGTCCTGTTTCGAACTCAACACTAGTAGTCCTTACAAGTTCGTTAAGTGCTTTCGCAGTTATCCTGTTATTAGTGCTAGGATTATCATTTTCATAGGTGTTGTTTCTTCTCACTCCTTTTCTCTTTATTAGTATCTTTCTGGATTGTTTTTCATTAGTACAACGTAGCTTCCTGAGGAGAGTTGTACGAAAACTAGTTCGAAGTACGATATTTGTTCATCATTTTTTCCATATTACATTTATTCTTTCTTCCATGTTCTTCACTGCCTTCGTATCCACTCGTTTTTTGAATACAATAAAAGCCTTTGTGAAATGTCGGTTCAGCTCGTTCTGTTGATCGCAATTCTAAAACTATTGTCGCCTCGACGCCTTTTTAAATAAAATTAATGTGCACATTTTTAGAGATTATTTCCTCCGTATACAAAACCTTCGTGACATTTTTTTTAAGGCTGAGCACAGCTCTGGAATTGTTTAGTTTGACTTGTAATAACACATGTGGCATTGCCTAACCTCTTTATAAGCTATATACAAAGTAAAAAAGGAACTCAGACGAATGAGATTGAGTTTATTCTGAGTCATCTTCACCTGTCTCACTGTCACCTGATGACGCTGACTCCGCATCGCCAACAGTTGCTGCTTCCGCTCGCATTTCGTTCAGCTTCTAGTCAGCTGGAGTGATTGTCGACGCGGGACTTTGGCAACGTCCTCTTCATTTGCAGAGTTGCATACACCTCGGTGTCGACAACAATCAGTCGTTCCACCCGTGACTTGCATTATGCCGTGAAACGAGTCGTACGAGCACATCCAAACGCTTCGCATTCTCTTGGCACGGTACTCCTCCCAGCGTTCCAAAACGACTTCGAGGAGGCACCTGCGATTCCCCTTGGCGACAATGGAGATGTCTGACTGGAGAGAGGCGAAGAAAGCCAGGTCGTCAACACTCCGATCTGGAGTCCGTCTGATTGCACGACGACTGAACTGTTTCATCTTGCCGTGCGAGCGTAACAGCTTCCAGTTCTCATGCTGTATCTCTTAAACTGTCACCAGCAAATCCCATATACAGGATTTGGTTTTTGGATAAAGGATTTCACTAAACAAACTATGCAAACTGATGAAATGGATTTCATGAGGCGTTTGGAACTGGTTTCCATACACTTCCGCAGAAATAATCCAATTTTCAAGCCGATCGGCCAATTTTCGGCTTGAAGCTTCCGCACAGTTAAAATGCACTAGATATGTCAACCTGTGACAGTGCTCCCCAATCAATCACAGATATCTATGCATGGTATCTATGTACTTATTAATTTTAGCATACTAAGCATTCTATCATCATCTGCATCCATTACAACACTCTGGATAATGCAGAACACTCAAATCCTATATATAGGATCCGACAAAAACTGACATGTCCTCTCTAAAACGGCGTCACTAGGACTGGGGTTCACATGTTGCTCCCCCCCCCCCCCCCCACATAAAAATAATAGTAATCTATTATAACGTAAACAAGGAAAGCGGTGGGGCACAAGTTAAGCATTACAGCCAACCAACTAAACCAGTTTTTGAACAGTCAGACGTGCACAAGGTAGTACCAGATTGAAAAGGAGTACTGAGAAATTCCACGGCAAGGAAGTGAGCTTGAGCACTGCTTCATAGCGCTATAAAAAAAAGAGTAAATTATCGTGTCCGGTCCCGAAGGGAACTCACGACGGCCGCTAACGCAGGCAGCAGGTGCCGTGTGACTCCACATTCCAGCTGCGAGCATCGCTGCGTTACTGTGTCAGTTTCGAGCAAGTAAGTAACATAGTTGTTTACTTCACTCGTGAGTTCTTGTCTGCAACGTTCTCAAACGAATGGCTTCCGTGGAGAATCTGTTCGAGATCAACGAAACTTACCTCGACATGCAGGTGGGTTGTCGATGACAGCCTTTGGCGTGGTTCGTTGAGCGGGTTTTTGCTCAAAAATACAGTTGAAAAGGTCACGAAGTTTTTGTATACGGAAGAAGTACAAATGAAGTGGCTTCACATCTTGGTAAGGTCACTAACCTAGTGCAGAAAATGATCATGCCATGTGTACAGTAGAACCAACATGGCTGAAATCATGTGACATAGATACAGGACTGAGTTGGATCTGGCTGTCCGTTGTGGTCATGTTGTAAAATGTTATATAATGTTAAACCACACGACATGTAGAGTCAACATATTGATGACTCATTGTGGCGCACTTCTCTTCATAAATTGGAGCTGACAATGGATTTTCTTCTTCTTACAAATGAAGGTGGGAAACAGTTGCTAGAGCGCTCCAAATGGCTGAAGGTTTCAAAAAGACCAGGATTGTCATTTTCATCCACGGGGAACTAGTATCCCAAAAATGGGTCACAGTGCGTCACTAGGACTGGGGTTCACATGTTGCTCCCCCCCCCCCCACATAAAAATAATAGTTATCTATTATAACGGAAACAAGGAAAGCGGTGGGGCACAAGTTAAGCATTACAGTCAACCAACTAAACCAGTTTTTGAACAGTCAGACGTGCACAAGGTAGTACCAGATTGAAAAGGAGTACTGAGACATTCCACGGCAAGGAAGTGAGCTTAAGCACTGCTTGAGAGCGCTAAAAAACAGCCTTTCCATTTGAATATTAGTGATCATGCCAAAGAGGGGGAAGGAAGCACCATCAAGCCGAACACAAGCTATATTCCATGGCACAGTGAATGCTGGCTTGGTACGATAACGGGACGGTGAGAAAATTGGACCATAACTCCTTACCACAATTCGACAACACAAAGCAACAACCACCCAACTAGGGAGGCTCAATTTCATCAGGGATAAGAAATGAAAGGGAATCTTCCCCTGTTTTCCTTGTTTCCAATTAATACCAGGGGCGTACATAGGGCGGTTCCCGGGATGCCCGGGAACCAGTAAAAAAAATTCGATATTAGTACGGATATTTTTGATCCAGCCTTTTCAGGCCCTGCGCTCGCAGTGCAAGTAAGTGCATGCAGCTGTGCAGTGCATGCCTAGCGCCTGGAGTCCGCGCCTGATGGCCAGACGGTCCGAGGTCGAGGATGGTGACATGACTAGCCCAGGTGTGAAAGCGGCGCTGGGACACAGCCTACTGAGCTGGGTTCAACAAAGTCTCTACATCGCCTCGATCTCCGAGTCGAATTTTCTGTTGCAGTTTGTTTTGACAAAGTTCGTCGTGTTTTGGACGATGCTTTCGCTTTGTGGAAAGGAAAAATGAAGCGTCGACATCCAGAGGGCCAGCGCTCTATTCAGAGCTATTTTGAGCAGCAGGCAAAGAGTGTAGCCAGTGCTAGTGGCGAAGGTCAAGAGATAGGTGAGAATGCAGACCGCGGCACCTGACTTGCAAGCGAAGACTGCATGCAACGAGCAGCGCTGAGGAAGAAATCGTCGGCGAAGCTGTAGAGCGACCGTTGTTGGAAGCTGCTCGATCATCCAAAACTTACTTCAGTGACATGGGAGTGTGTTGGAAGGGATATTCTGAAAGTCGACGTCTACAATGGAATCCAGTCCCCCGACATTTGCCGGACACGGAAAAGATTTCCGTCATCGACAATCATTGTGCGCCACCGAAGGCGAAGGATTTCATTTCCTGTGCGTGTCCAGATGGATGGCAAACAGCGCCACTTTCAACTATCCTTGTTAGAGGAATTACCCTGGGTAGTCTTTTGACAGGCATGCAATGGTGGCTTCTGCTTGCCCTGTGTGATGTTTGCTCCAGATGATTCGAAACTTAGGCAGCTTTCAAGACTGCATGCAATCGTCATGCTGAACAAAACATCCATAAAACGGGGAAAGGTTCAGTCTTTTAAAATCAAAAATGCGTAGCAATGACATCGTCCAGCAGCTTGTGGATGTTAATTTCACCCAGTCTGAGGAGAATGTGCAGAAACTCCGCGGGATACGAAAACAGCACTTCAATTGTGTGGAATGTTGGTTCATCAGTTGGCATGGGAACCACTCCTGGAGGCGAGCGGCGTACGCCCCTGAATACTGTCCATGGCTTACCATCTGAGTATCTCATAATCTATTATAAGTATTATTCTCAAACCGTACCTTGTACTAGGATGGTCAGTTGTTTTAAAGCAATTCCAAAGGGCGACGATACTGTACAAGTATACATCCCTGAGTCGTCCACAGTTAGGTAATCACCAAGCTTGCGTGTCCAACCATTTGCACCATTATATGCTGGTAGTATTCTTCCATTCTTAGTCCATGTCACATTCAATGGTCCTGTGCCGTTTGCTCTGCACACCAAGGCAATTGATCCCACCTGCCATGATGTGGACACGATAGTCATGGATCCACTGATGAATGTAATGTATGGAACATCTATAACGAATGGAAACAGCCAGGAAGCAAGGAACAATCACCACTACAGACTCTCTTCTCATAATAAGACCAATGGGTTAGGAGAGGTCATGACCCAATCTTAAATAGCTAACTTTTGCTGACAAAGTGTGCTCAAACGAAAAGAAGTACTGGCAAGAGCTGTGAAACTAAAATCCCCAAAAATAGTAGCGTTCTAAACCACATGGGAACAATGGGAGGATAAGGGATAAGATACACCACCAAGACTGGACTCAAGGACCTTTGCAAATCCGGTACTCAATTTTTTCCCGAAGCAATAGTAGAACAGTACTATTGCCTGCTGTTTTTGCTCACAGAATTGGTCCTATATACTTGCATGACCTTGAAAGATGAGTATACACAACTCACTGGCAACATGTAAAGTTAGATTGCTCCTTTGAAAAAGTCCTCCTGCCCGTCGAAATGCGCATTCATAATCTCCTATCATTGACTGAGTGATAGTTGTTGGCCAGTGCAGCTTTCTGGTGTATATAACAACCTTGTCTAATGATAACTGCCGATGGTCTACATAATGGCCTTCAATCCTGAACAATGGATTGTCTTGAACAGGTGCGTTGTTGAAGTACCAGAACGCTGTCGACAGGGGTGGGTCAAGAGGCCCAATTGAATGAACTGTGCCACAAAAGACCAAACATGTCAAAGTGGGAAGACTTGCTGATGAGGTGCCAGGCAAAATGTACAAATCTCTTGGTCCTTCATAGTTAAACTGGCCCATCGGTCCACTTCTAAACCCAGCATATCCCGATTTACAGTCTGCAACAACAAACGCACACAATGTCAACAACAAAACAATGATGACTGTGATAGAAACTATATGGAAGTACTAACTGTCACGTAACCGTGAAGTGTGACCGAATGATAACGTACTTCTGTATTGCATGATACTCACCAACTATTACTGTTGCCTAGCAACGCGTATCCAGTTTTCCTGTCCCCCCCAAAAAACTATAATGTTGTGTGGCTTTGCACATGAGTGCATGTCGTCATAGCAACTTTGGAAAAGTTCCAACAAGCTAGGAATCAGACGAAGCCCCCGAATGCCCCCGCCGGCTATCGGCCCTTTCTTGAAATTTAATTTTGTTTCACTCATTACAAAAATGTATTGTCTGCGTATGCATCTACCCAAGAATGCACCACCAGCTATTTGGGACATGTGTCATAAGTATTGAACGTTAATGATGGAAATAAACTAAGAGACTAAAGTAAAGTAAGTAAATTATCGTGTCCGTTCCCGAAGGGAACTCACGACGGCCGCTAACACCCGATAAACCCTAGAACTTCAGAACTTCAGAGATACTGATTATGTGTTGAAGTGATGCGCAGAAAAATAAATTAGACGAGTCACAGCATTGAAAACCACTAGGTGACAAAAACGTTGTGAAAAGAAAAAGGAAAAAGAGAGGAAAACAGAGCATGATACTCGCCAAGCGCTTCTGCTGTTGCCTAGCAACTGAGCTTTGAAAACAAGTGTGCCATTTTTTTTTAAAGCATAGGCCTCACTTTAAAGACCAATAATTTAACAAACAAGAGTCGGCGTTATTTATGCTACGATGGTCAAATTGACAGTGATAGATAGGCTAGATGTCTGGATTTCGGGACAAAAAATTCTGGTTGCGGCTCCAGTGCGGCCTACATTTGTATACTCTGTAAAACACGGTGCAGTACTGTAGGGTGCTGAAGAACGAACAGGCTAGAATTTTACTAAGCACAGCATACCGATGTATGCACGGTGACTCACCTGTGCATAGACTGTAGTACATAAAAATATAAATGGTCTAGGCTAGGATCCCCCCCCCCCCCCCCTCCCCCAGTTCTTCGACGACCAACATATCTTTATACATGTACATGTACTTACTTTCATGCTGACTCTGCACTGCCAATATCATTCCCAGCAAGATCAACACTGAGAATATATGTTGGGCAAAATGTTGACCATTGATGAATTTTGTGTACTGCATGAGAAAAATACAGATATACACACATACCACATACCCAACACATGCGCTCACATAGACACACAGATACACATGCATATAGAAATGGACACATCTGTCCTGTCCTGAACACTGCCGCACGATGGTCATATGTCCCCTCATACGAGGGGCCGACAGACATGGGGTAGGTCGGTTCAGTAAGGTACGCAGCACGCTCCGCAGGTTAGCAGCCTGCGAGAGTTCTGTTATAGTTCGTACAGCTGTGGATTTGGAAACCCCTCCATGATCACTAACACACGCACACACACACACGCACGCTCGCATGCACGCACCAACAAACGTTACATATCTTCAATGGTCTCCTTAGTTGTAATCATTGCTGAGACGATTTTTCTCTGATGAAAGTCTCACGAGAACTGAATAAAATCTTTTTCATTCATGATAATATCAATCGTTGCACTCAAATATTATTATTATTATTATGCAGTTTGTTGCTTGAACATTCCATAACCTGAAGAAAGTGTTGGTTCCGTGCATTGGAGCTTGCGCTTCCTGACAACTAACTTGACACTTGACTGATTCACGACTTTGTCTGGAGCACACAAGAAGCCCGTCGAACTTTCCACTGGGCAAACCTGCAAGAAAGCACCACTCCCTGCTCAACCTACAGAAGCTCAACTGATGAGGGGTGAATTCCCCGAAACTATATTTATTGAGCAGGGAGTGGTGCTTTCTTGCAGGTTTGCCGAGTGGAAAGTTTGAAGGGCTTCTCGTGTGCTCCAGACTCAGTCGTAGGTCAATTACGTATCAAGTCAGTCGGCAGGAAGCGCTAGCTCCATCGTATGGAGCAAACACTTTCTTCACTAATTACTGCCGATGTAGCAATATCTTATCTCCATCCATATCCTGTTCGTTGTAAGCATGGTAGCCCATACTAAGGCCAAGCCAATTCTGACTGTTTTACTGAGGCAGTGTTAGACCTCTCGTTTCAAAACATTGGACACAGCAGGGACAATGATCAGCTACTCCCCCTCACTGCCTTTCCCTCCCCAACTGAAGTCAGGTACTCCATCACAGATTACAGTGTGTCGCTAACATAATCATGATGAAAGAAGAAATATGGCATTTGTGACATTCTGTGAATCCTTTTTTCCCGCAGTTTACTGCGAGAGCCATAAGAAATACCAAGTACTGAATATTTTTTAGAAATTTGGATACCTAAAAAGGCGACGTGGAGACAATAATATTAATAATGCAATGAATATAACTAAATGCGCACTCATATCACAACCTTGGGGACGGATAATGTATTCCAGAACGTTTTCTTGCCACAATTATCAATGGAATTCGTGACTAAAGAGAATGATGAAACTACAATAGGATTTATACACTTGGAGTGAAACAGCGAGGATACAGCACGGACGGTAGTACACGTACTACAAGAAGTAGTATCCCAATGGCCAGACGTGACCTGCCCGCCAAACCTCAAACGCAAGATACAAGCACAAGCGAAAATGGGCGGCAAAACCCACACCGCCGCCGCCCTGCACAAGCCGACACCAACACTACCAGTAGTCCACTGAAACGCACCATCACAAGCCAGTTCACAAAAGAGCCAGCCCGTACCAAACGCACTGACCTTCAGGGCGTGGAGCGGGTGAAGCGCATGGCTTTCTACCTTGGCAATGTAGACCTTGGATGCGATGCTGCCTCAATTGAACTGTGGTGTAAAAAGAAAGATGTCGAAGTTTTTCACTGCTCAATCTCAGAATCACGGTACTTTGGTACAGCTTATGCCCACCTGGTTGTGGGAGAGAACTGTGTAGACCAGATCCAAGGGCCTGGTTTCTGGCCTGACAAAATTAATATCCGGAAATGGAGGTTCCACACTGACCAGGCTGAATCTGAACAATGAGTAAACCAACACCTCAACTTGACCCTAACGCAACACCCTTCAATCCTTCAACGCTCATAGCCTCCTTTCCCGTAGCCTGTATCAATGCACGTTCCCTTAGAAACAAATCTGCTGAGCTATCCGACCTCACGACCAGCTGTCCCCTTGTTGTTTGCATAACTGAAACCTGGTTCTGTCCACAAATGTCCCTCTCCTTCCCAGGCTATGAATGTTTTCGAAGGGATCGACCCACCTCCGAGAATAAAATGAACACCAACGACTTCCTGGCCTATGGCGGTGTTGCTATCTTAGTAAAATCAAGTGTATTTGGTCCTATCACCCACCGTACAGACCTACATCTTCCGCAATTCGAAGCTACATGGGTAGAGATATCGCCATCCACTGCAACCTCTGCTTGCCCCACGCGCCAGCAGCCCATCCAAATTGCGGCTGCCTACCGCCCACCGTCCACCGACCCGTCGGTGATAGATAACTTTTACGCCTCATTTCAAAGCTGCTTGACTAAAATACGGACCCCTGGCTCGCCAGTCCTCATCATGGGAGACTTCAATGCTAAATGTTCCACCTGGTATGGAACAACAACAGACACTGCAGGCCACCACCTTTCATGTCTTCTTGACATGTTTTCCTTGCAGCAACACGTCACATTCTCGACCCACCGCTCCCACAAAGGCAATGAGGCTGCTCTGGACCTGATGATCACTGACACCGCAGCCAGCATCTGCGATCCACACCCCTCAGCCCCTCTCGGTCAGTCGGACCACTCAATTGTTCTCAGCCGTTTGTGCATCCCGACATGTACCGCATCACCACCTGCACCCAACACTACTCTGGCATGGCACCACTCTGTGCTATCACCTTTCCCTAGGCACTCTGTGCAATGCATCATGAAAAATGGGCTGGTCACACCCCGCAATACCATCACCCTCATCTAGCACCTAGGCACTCTGTACAATGCATCATGAAAAATGGACTTGTCACATCCGGGACCCGACATAATGATAATTTTCACACTCCATAATGACGGAGTTCACACCTTCTGAGTATATAACCAGTGTATCATACTTTGTTTGATCATCCATCTGATGATCCGTTGCTTGAACGGTGAAACACTGTGTAATGGAATTTGATCTCTGACGGTTTTTCCGCTTGTGTGTGATGAAGCTCTGCCTCGCTTGCATTGAGCACTTTCCGCAGTTTGAGACCATTCCCTTGTGTGAAGTCACCCACCATAAATTACTTCGATTAATATTTCGCATGCCCCCTCTGACCTCCTCTCAGACGCTATACATTTTGGCTTCCTCTTCCCCTCTCTCAGAACGCTTTCCCCACTCGGCATGCAAATTCATTCACCGTATTAAGCTTCAACTTGCTCCTCCTCATGCACTTGCGCATTTAAGCTGGTTCAATAATAGCTCGCGTACTAGATGTTCTCTCCATTTCCCACTTGCCAGATCATCGATCCTTTTAAAATCCCCTCTGTTCAAGTCCTATTCTCATTGGTCTCGGCTTCCGCAGGAGGTGAAGTCTCGTGACACCTTCGCTGCATTTTGTTCCATTCTGCCCGCACCTAAGTTGAATTGAATTGAATTCGTTGTTTTCCATTGCTAGCCTAATCTTCATACTGCTCTCTCCAGGTTCCTTTAGTACTCCTTTTGTTTTGTTTTGTTTTCTCTTTTTCTTCTCCTTCTTTTTCTCAGTTGTCCCCACCATGGCTGGTTAAAATCGCCCGCATCACATGCTTATTGGCACTATGTCATCGTGATTGTGGAATAATAAAGCATAGTAAGAAAAATAGCACAAACCTAGGAACAATTTGCACAGGTAATAAAAAACTATAGGTGAGGTGAGAAATGATAGGAAATTCAGCAAGTGCAGTGTGACAATGGACATGCATGTACAAGTGAGTGTGAGTGCGAATTTAATGGAATAGCGTAAGTGCAGTGACATTTTCTTTTTGTGTACAAAGATTTGGATCACGAATGCGAATGTAGACTGCTTCTAGAACTAGAAAATGTCACCGCAAATGTCACCGCACTTACGCTATTCCAGTAAATTCGCACTCACACACACTTGCACATACATGTCCATTGTCACACTGCACTTGCTGAATTTCCTATCATTTCTCACCTCACCTATAGTTTTTATTACCTGTGCAAATTGTTCCTAGGTTTGTGCTATTTTTCTTACTATGCTTGTATCCTCGCTGTTTCACTCCAAGTGTATAAATCCTATTGTAGTTTCATCATTCTCTTTAGTCACGAATTCCATTGATAATTGTGGCAAGAAAACGTTCTGGAATACATTATTCGTCCCCATGGTTGTGATATGAGTGCGCATTTAGTTATATTCATTGCATTATTAAAATTTGGATACCATGACCTTTTGTAGCTACGCCAAATGTTTAGGTAGACAGTGCAAAGCTCCAGTACTTTTACTCTATAAATATATTTATTCCTGTATCCACTATCCATTCGTTATCTGCCTCCACTGAAGAGCTGTGAATGAGCGAAACAGGTGTTTGGATGATATGCTATAGCACACCAAGAACGAAATTCCTCGCTATGGTTTTGTGAATGTGGGCCAAGAGCACAGTGTGGATTGGTGGAATGTTTCAAATCATTTTCAAATTACCAAGTTCGCCGCAGCTTCTAAGTTGTTAGTTTTTTTTCTTACCAACATAATCCCGTTCGTATCCTCTAGGCAGGGAGTTGACTGCTCAGATGTTGGCACTATCAATATGCGGGTGACAACCTCCTCCTTCAGCTGGCGGCCGTTCCGCTCACTGCAAGTCCGCGTATAATTATTATTATAGTTTGAGCTAGGGCCTAGGGTCGAGATGACAGCCTGATTTACAGAGGAACGGAACTGAGTGACTTGCGCGTTGCCTGGACAAGCGCATTTCATTTCGGAAAACTGGACATCGTGATGCATGTTGTGTTTCGTGACGCGGAGATCCACTCACAGTCTCACTCATTACAATGATGTACTTGAAACACCGTGCGCCTGGAGCTGGCTTCGCTTCTATTCGATGACCCTGCACTACAGGCTGCCAAGCATTCGTCTACGAGGACGAGAGTGCGGAATCAGTGCGTGCATACCTCACGAAGTGCAGAGTACCCGATTCCAGCACTGAGTGCATGTATAAATCGGTGGTTTGCTTCATTCTTGACTGTGCATGTGGCTTCATGATTTGCGGCCAGAAACTGACATGCGCAAAAAAATTAAGAGAGATGAACACCAAACTACAAGACTTGTAATAGTTGTAGTTTGGCGTTCATCTCTCTTGAGTCTTAATTTTTTTAGTATGAAAAATCAGCAAGTCAAAAAACAGTATGAAAATCAAAAGAATAATACTAAGACATCGAACATACATGTATCAAGAGGAAAGAAGACACGGGAAACTTGCTGACTCCCTACGGTGCTCATCTGGTGTACCTCAGCTCAGGCTCAGGGCTCGGTCCTACGACCGATCCTGTTCAGCATGTAGATCTACACCAGTGATGTCCCTGCCATAGCCCGTCCTGCTCCATGCCGACGACATTGCCGTGCACTGCCACAGGAAATCAGTGCTGGCCACATCAGCCTGCCTATCAGCAATGATCAGGGGCCGTCACCAACGTCGCTGACCACTCAAGCATCGACATCTGCTTCTAAAAAAGACAAGAAGACCCAGGTCCTGTCAATACACCAATCCCGAAAAGATTGTCTGAGTTCGAAAGGGGGCATGTCAACTGAGAGTCCACTGAGCCTGTACAACACATACATGGCACCACCTGACCAGCATGCGGCACAGGACGTGTTTGATAGTTTGCGTGTGAATGCCGGGGTAAGTACACGGTTTTATCGTTAGTTGCATGCAAGGGAAACGATGCGACAGAAAGCAAAGCTCTTTGTGGGTTTCTCTCTCGCACTGGTAATGTTCTGCTGTTGGAGTCGAAATGCTAAGCCATAATCCTTGTTTCGCTTTGCTGTGTAGTGTGGAGAGGTCAACGAACATGTAGAGCTCACTTTGATGAAGTAGGCAAGGCTGTGAGAGCTGTGGCTCAAAGCGATAAGCCCTAAATCTTACGAGATATTTCGAGTGCTATTGTTTGTTGCGAGGGCTTCGTCTTCGAAGAGTCATGCCTCTTTCCTCCCAGGCTTCCTCCTATAGGACCAACCACGAAGTGACTGTACTCATCTGCAGCCGATCAATGTTCTACTGCACAAGAAGATTGCGTTTTCACCAAGCAAGTGCCCCGGCAAAGACCATCGCCATGTCACACCGTCGAAACGAGTTCATGATGAGAATCATCATTCGCGCGAGCGTGATGAAGAACTATTTCGAAAGACAATAAGTCTCTACCCCCGGGACGACAACTATGCGCAGGTCCTGGAAGGAGAGAATGTCTCCAGCGATACGACGGCGGTATCTCGGCAACCTGGAGTCAGCGGAGCTCGTCAAGCTCCTCCGCCTCCGCGATCCGGTACATGTACAGTAGGTGACATGTCGACACGAGCGTGCGGAAACCCAAAATACACTGTAGGACTGTTGCGAGAGTTTGCGGAAGATGTCCAAGTCGGAAAATCCATCGGCTCCAAAAGCTACCTGTACTGCTGTAGGTGGGCGATGCGACTCCAGCTTCAGACTACACCAGTCAGGACTTGTAAATAGTTGAACTTGGTGAAGCAGCAGATCGAGAAGTAAGTAAGTTGAAATCGTAGCTGTTGCGGTATGAAGGCGCTATGTAGCTTGTATTTTTTACGGAGAGTCGATCGCCACGCGAATGTTCTTCTCCTTGCCGAGAGCTAGCTGGCCTCCAACCTCCGTCAGGGTCTGCCTAAGGTACCGAAGGTCCTTTGACTAGCTGCTGGCAGGACTCCATCAAATCATTTAGCTTCAGCTCGGTGAGCAAAAGTCTCTCTCGCCTCCGCCATGAGCTGACACATACAAAACCAGGGAGTCGTAAAAGCCCGGGAGAGGACACGGCACACATTCCCAGAAAGCATCTTTGCCTCGCGCTGCCGGGGAACGCTGCCAGGGAACGGTGTTGCGAGGCAAGGAAATTATTATTTTCGAAAATTGTGATGTCTTCTTGAAATACTAATTGAGACATTCTCCGATTTCTCTTAGAGCACGGAGACGATTGCTCCGTCGAGTCTTCTGATCTCTATTTTCATCCTCAATTCTTCCAGCTGCCTGACTCATTCTCTCTCAGTTTATCGAAGTTAATTTATTCTGAGGCGATGGAAATGCAAGATAAATCCCTAATTGTACTTCACTTTTATTTGAGTTGGGGTGAACGAAATGAGATTTGTGGAACATGACGCCATTTCCCGTGTTAGCCGCTGGTCGTATCATACAGCCCATATTCCATTGCAGGTGATGGGTGAACGTTCGTGTTGAGATCCGCTGAGCTTCCTCGTACTCGTGGAGTTGAATTTGTGGCAGAAATTGCACTGAATTCCAGTCAAATGGTTGTGACTGAAACGAGATCTGTGGAAAATGACGCCACTTCCCGTGTTAGCCGCTGGTCGTATCATACAGCCCATATTCCATTGCAGGTGATGGGCGAAAGTTCTTGTGGAGATCCGCTGAGCTTCCTCGTACTCGTGGATTTATGAATTTGTGTCAGAAATTGCACTGAAATTGCAGTCGAGTGGACTTCTGTGCGTGTGTTGTGAGTGAATCGCAATGGCTCCCTTCCTTCAGCATCGTCAAAACGCAACATGGAGCATTATTACGCACTCGTTCCATGATTCATGATATTGCCTGGATTCTTTTAAAAACAATCAATGTACATGGTTGCAGGTTGTTATTTATAAATCTTGATAATTTCAACACTTTTCTACTCGTATACTGAGTACGCGGTGACTTTAGCCGTTTAGGAAATGGAAGGCTCAGGCTCCAGGTTGGCCAGAAAGGTTCTCAGTGAATCTAACCGAAGTCTTGGCGAGTGTACAAAAGGTAAACCTATCATTTGTACTTCATAACGGAATTGTGCACAAAAATGCGCACGCACGCGCGCGCACACACACACAAACACTGTACAAACACACACAAAAGTACAAGCACATGTGCACATACACACGCCTCCCCCCCCCCCACACATACACTCAACTTCCCACCCCCTGTACCATGTGTACTGAGTCTGACAGACAGACACACAATCATGTTTATGCTTCCTTCGCCACCAGTTTCGGATAATGGTGTCAACAACGAGTTGTAAAATATTGGTATTTTAGGACTCCCTGCCCTGAACTGCTGAAGACGAGCACAGCGCCGTGGATCGAGCAGATACGGCCGCGCCGGCCTAGCGTGCTTCACTTTCTGGCCGAGGCAAACATCGTCCGCGTGCGCGCATCCCGTGTCCTCTCCCGGGCTTTTACGACTCCCTGATACAAACTAATACAAAACGATGCACTTCACACGAGCTGGCTCGCATGCGTGCCGTGCCCCGTTTCACGAACCCAGACAATCTTTTCTGGATTGGTCTATGTATAATAAATGAGGAGGGCGAGGGTTTATGACCAATAAAAACTATTATAAAAACCGAGGTGCCCCGAGGTTTTTATAATAGTTTTTATTGGTCATAAACCCAAGGCCGGAGCATTTATTGTATTTAGAATCAACCAGTAAAAACTCCTACTCAATCTCCAACAACAAAATTAGTGGACAGCTGTTATTTGTGTTGCTATGACAACTCGTGTGCTGGACGAGTATTTGTTGTCATTGGTTCAATTTCTTTTACTCTTCATAGGCTATCAGATCATTTTCCTTATTCGGTCTATTTATAACCAGTATCTACATGTATAATGAGAGTGTGGTCTGTCTCCATGGTTACCGGTGTTCATTTCATAACTATAGCCACTTCTCCTTGTTAGACCTTATGTGGAAGCCCCTTTCTTGCATATTCCAACAGCAGCCAAGGGAGCTAGCTCTCTTGGTTATGCGGACTGGGTCCGATCCTAAAAAAGCTGTTTTATGAACTGTTTTTATGAATTGTTTTTATGAACTGTTTTTATTGGATAGGATATGATTATGTTGAATAAACGAGGTTTGTGTCAATAGGAGATTGACTTGGAGTTTTTACGAGTTGATTCTAATGTACCACAACGCAATCTAGGTCAGCATGTCGCTGTCCGCTGCAACCAGACAGAGATCCCCCTGAGGCCAACAGCAAGGTACCTCGGCGTGACCCTTGATGCCGCTGTGAAGTGGGACCCCCATGTTGACGCGATTGCGAAGGAAGTAAGTTGTGCAAAAGATTGCAATATTGGAGCACTGTGGCTAGCCATTGGCGGACTATGCTCGACCAATCGTCAAATTATGCTTTTGAATATGCCACAATTATGCCAACAAATATGCTGAATTATGCTCGGTTCCACTATGTATTCACGCTGTACATAGAGGATTGAGAAACCACGCATACACACACGGCCATGCCCAAAGCAAAATTTTGTCTAAACCGAAACTACGAAAGATTATGCCGACCTTACACGTTGGAAGCCGTATATTATGCCGGAGCATAATTTTTTGACGAAATCCCGAGATTATGCCAAATATTATGCCGGCATAATCCGCCAAGGGCTATGACAAGGAGTCGTAACTGGGGTATTTAAAAAACAAAACATCTGCAGAATTTCTGACAAAGCTGTATTATGCCCCTAAGCATAATTTTTGTCTAAACCGAAAGATTATGCCGACCTTACACGTTGGAATCCGTATATTATGCCGGAGCATAATTTTTGGACGAAATCCCATGATTATGCCAAATATTATGCCGGCATAATCCGCCAAAGGCTAACTGTGGCGGTCCCGCAGATGTCTGAGCCTCAGTAGTCGCATCCAGTGTGTGAGGTCAGTCATCTTGCCTGACCTCCTATACGGGTCTAACGCCTTCTCTTCCTCCCTCAAGGTTTCGCAGGTGGTCGCCTTCAGGTCCTGCAGAACCAATCGGCGAGAGCGGTATAAGGTTTGCCGCCTCACACCTCTGCCCAGCTCCAACCTTTGCTCGAACGAATGTCCCCGTACAGAGTTCGCGAGTGCTACGCCCAGAAGCGGCTTGTCCTGGTGTGGCGCTGTGTCAATGGGAAAGCCAGCAGTGTCCTCCAGGACCTATTTTCACCATCAGCACCACCCAGCACCAGGTTTCAAGGCTGCCCAGCAATTTAAGCTTGCCTCCATCCCCTACACCGTGCAATAAATGCTCTGTCTGACTTTTCCCGTCCACACACCACGTCATTTACTCTTCTCTGCGTGCTTGTGCGCTTATGAACTCTTTGTGTTCCCTATGTTGACACTGCAAAATCGCTCTGTTGACGCTGCAAAATCGCTTATCAGACTAAATAATCTAATTACATACCAAGTAGCGATTTGTTCTTCGCTGCTACCCCCAACCACACGTTGATGCGCTCACTACCGTCCGATGCCCCTAACCTCACTGCTTTTCTTTCTCTCTCTCTCTCTCTCTCTCTCTCTCTCTCTCTCTCTCTCTCTCTCTCTCTTCTCTCTCTCTCTCTCTCTCTCTCTCTCTCTCTCTCTCTCGCTCTCTCTCTCTCTCTCTCTCTCTCTCTCTCTCTCTCTCTCTCTCTCTCTCTCTCTCTCTCTCTCTCTCTCTCTCTCTCTCCTTAATCCACCATGTTCGCAAGGCTGGGCGGGGTTGTGAGTAGCCTTTCGTTTAATCTTTTCTTATTATTTCTGCTTTTCATCTCATTACACAAATTCTGCGCATTTTTTCTCCATCTGCGCATAAAATCTAGACTGACAACCTGCTTGTTAAATCATGCACCTGCTTTCAGGCGTAAAAACCCTGTTGTAGAGGTCTCAGTCCTCATTTGTTAGACTTACCTGTCTCTATAAATGTAACTTAATCTCTCTCTCTATCTCTCTCTCTCTCTCTCTCCCTCTCTCTCTCTCTCTCTCTCTCTCTCCCCGTAGCTCTCTCACCGTAGCTCTCTCCCCTTTGAAATTCGCTTCCATAGAATTGGGCACCATTGCCCGTTTGGCCTTGCGAAGTTAAATAAAGATCAACAAGAACAACAGCAACTTCTCACACCTGTAGCGTGATGTTTACCTCTCTCAATTCTTTACCCATATAATTGCTGTCTTAGTCATTTTTTGCTATATTCTCTTTAACAAGAGTGTGTTGCTCCCTACATGGGAGCTCGGCGTTTTCGTGCCGACTTGAATTCTCACTTGACTGACTCACGACTGCCATCCAGAGCACACGAGAAGTCCATCGAACCGTCCACTCGGCAAACCTGCAAGAAAGAACCACTCCCTGCTCAGTACCCAGTGTTTCGGGGAATTCACCCCTCATCAGTTGACCTTGAGTAGGCTGAGGAATATTGTGCCTGAAGAGCACCACTTATATAGTGCTCTCCAGGCACAAACATCACTAGGGATACAAACTTACCGAGACGCTTCGTTTCCAGCGCGACAAACACCTCGTGCACACCAGATAGCAGCGTGAGTCAGTGTCGCTCATGGAGGTGCTGAACAAGCGCTAAGGACCGTTGGCCATTCACAACGTTGTTGCCTCCAAACCATCTCATTCGTAAGCCCGCGCTGGCGACAAAAATGTGAAAAAGAGGTTGGTGCGACTTCGGCGATAGTAGGGGAAGTGTGTGTGGCTCCGTACATGGGAGCTCGCGATTTTCCTTCCGACTTGAATTCTCACTTGACTGACTCACGACTGCCATCCAGAGCACACGAGAAGTCCATCGAACCGTCCACTCGGCAAACCTGCAAGAAAGAACCACTCCCTGCTCAGTACACAGTGTTTTGGAGAATTCAGCCCTCATCAGTTGAGCTTGAGCGCTGTGTATTGAACAGCGAGTGGTTCATTCTCGCAGGTTTGCTGAGTGGACGGTTCGATGGACTTCTCGTGTGCTCTGGATGGCAGTCGTGAGTCAGTCAAATGAGAATTCAAGTCGGTGGAAAACGCCGAGCTCCCATGTAGGGAGCAACGCACTCTTCCCCTACTATCGCCGAAGCCGCACCAAACTCTTCTTCACATTGTCTTTAAGAGCCCATAAAGAGAAGGGAACGAATATGTTCAGTTCTAAAATTTCCTAGTGTTCATTTGGACTAGTGTGGATTGCGCAGATGCATGTCCTGCATTGAAGAACATTTTTTATTACTGCATTGAAGAACTATTTTTATTTCCAAGTTAGTCGAAATCTCCAGGAGTCGTTCCCATGCCAACTGATCAACCAACATTCCACACAGTTGCCACACAATTGCTAGTGCTCTTAGACGTATCCGACGGAGTTTCTGCATAAACTGCTGGATAATGTCACTGCTACGCATATTTGATTTAAAAAGACTGAACTTTGCCACGGCATGTTTACGGTTGTTTTGTTCAGCAGGACGATTTCATGCAGTCTTGAGTCGGGTTATATTCTCGAGAGGACTGCGGTAAAGCTGCCCAAGCTTCGAATCATCTGGAGCAAACATTACACAGGGCGAGCAGAAGCCACCATGGCACGCCCGTCAAAAGACTACCCAGGGAAACTCCTCCACCCAGGATAGTTGAAATCGGCGCTGTTAGCCATCCGTCTGCACACGCACAGGAAACGAAATCCTTCGCCTTCAGTGGCGCACAATGATTGTCGATGACGGAAATCGTTTCCATGTCCGGCAACTTTTGGGGGAATCAGGGATTTTACTGTGGAAGTACACTTTCAGAATATCCTTTCCAACGCACTCCAATGTCACTGAAGTAAGTCTTGGATGATCCAGCAGCTTCCAACAACGGTCCCTCTACAGCTTCGCCGACGATTCCGTCCTCTGTGCTGCTCGTTGCAGACTCCACTTGCAAGTCAGGTGCGTCCGCAATCTCCTCTATCGCTTGACCTTCGTCACTGGCTACACGCTTTGCCTCCTGCTCAAAATAGCTCTGAATAGAGCGCTGGCCCTCTGGATGTTGACTCTTCACTTTTATTTTATTTTCCGTCAAAACCGTGTCCGTCAAAAACGTAACCAACTTTGTCGAAACAAACTGCAAAGGAAATGAATCTGAAATCGAGGAATCGTAGATCTATGTGGAGGCTTTGTTGTACCCAGTAAGTAATGTAACTTAGTTTAGTACATCTACGCTGTGTCACAAAAATGCCCCATCAGCACCTTTACACCTGGCCTAGTCACCGTCCTCGGACCGTCAGGCGGACTGCAGGCGCCTATATAATTATAGCATTCATGCACTGCTCGCTGGGCCTGGATCAAAACATTCTCCGTACCCACATCAACAAACTTTTACTGGTTCCCGGGCATCCCTATGTACGACAAGTTCAGTTATGCAGTCTGCATAACTGAACTCGTGTGTGTGGTGCAGGAAAACGTAACTCATGGAAAACAACTTTACAACACCGTGAGACGTGCTGTAGCAACGATGGGCTGGACTTGACAGCTTGAGTCAGTCAGAATAGGAAGGAACTAGAGGGGATTTCGTAAACTGAACAGTATGTTTCAAAGTACAGGGTTGAAAGCAGAAATAGGCAAGGAGATGTGTATAGATATATAGATATATACACGAATGTAGGTTTACACTGCCCAGTGAGATACACTCGAATGTGTGGTGTACATTGTACAGTGAGATAAACACTGTGCTATTGAGTCGCTATCTAAAAATGCTGTGGCATGTATGTTGTGCAAATGGTATGCCTTAGGTAATAACCCGATTGGAATGGCCATGATGGCAGAGATTGAACTCGGATAATGAGCCATGTAAAAATGGAAGAAGAAAACACATCTTGTTACATCTGTCGATAGTTGCTTCATAACTCGCTTCAATGTGTTTTCTTCTTCTATATGGCAGAGATTGTAAGGTGTTTTCGGGATGACATTGGATAACCTTTTCAAATTCCATTGCCTGAACCTAAACATGAGTCTTAGCTTCAGAGAGAAGAATTGAATTTCCTGTAGGAGTAGTGTGAGCCAGGACAATCCTACAGATAAATTGTAAACACAAGAACATGAAAAAATTCAGATGTTGTTATATGGGAATCGTATTGGCTGAAATTGGTACTGGAAGAAACTTCCAATTAGCCGGTAGGTTCGAATTAACCATATTCAAGTTATCAGGATTCTACCTATAGCAAGAAACAGGGGTTTGTCAACTGACTACCGCTCTATGCAGTTCCTATTAACAATCTGCGTTGCGTGGAAAATTCTTTCATCGTTGATGTTGTAAAATTATGATGTTTCGGGCCAGTCACACAATATCAGAACTACCCCTTTTCTTTTTCGGTGTGCTAAATTATGAAAATAAGTGGGCACGACACTGTCTGAACAGCAAAGTTGAAGATGGCTTACATCATTGCTTATTGTAGACCTTGAAAAGGAGGATGAGGTTCAGGGCAACACTGGCAGCGAAGAAAATGCCTCTTATGATTGATACTGCAACTGAGATGTCGGAGCTGAATTGACTATAACCATGGCCAACAGCAGTATCAACTGGTGCTGCAACACATAACAGAAAAGCATTCTGGTAAGTAGAGATCCTCAGTGACATTAACAAGCGCTGCTCAGATTTCAAATGGCAGAATATGACACAACATACACAAAAGTGGTACCCTATATTCCGGTGTGTTAGCTGCACCGGGGTCTAAGCTGCACCCCCCCCCCCCCCTCGAGCTCAAAATTCTCATCTTTTTGACATTCGGAGTACAAGCCGCACATCATATTTTGAAATTTCATTCATCCAAACTTGATGGGTACTTGTACATACAAGCCGTTTACCCATGGTTGTACAGTTTAGAAGCACGACAGAAGTTTCAGTAAAAGTTTCTTTGTTTGTCCCTCTCTCTGATCTGCCACCTTAGAAGAACCGTACAACTGCAATGATGGATTGCACATATTAAGTAGTCGAAGGACGCCATACATGCCCATTATGTATGACACGCAGTACTTTGTTATTATTCATTTATTTTAGCTATAAAGAAAACAAATTCTGCTGTCATCGCCACACTACAACAAAGTCACGAAGGTTTACCAAAATCGATTTTCTTGTCACAATCATCAGTGGAAAGCCGTGACTATGACAATAGAAGTAAGATTGTTTTCGTAGGTGCACAGCATGATTGTTTGTCTCACTACACAGTTCTAGCGTTGCAATTAGTTCCTCACCCCTGTTGCACTTAGCTCTCACTTCACTTCTATTGTCTCACCTTCCCTCATTCTATTTTAGCACTTTGTTTTGTTCTCGTAACACATTATTGTATGTATATAAATCATTGATTTAGTATGGTTATTCTTCAGTCACGGCTTTCCACTGATGATTGTGACAAGAAAATCGATTTTGGTAAACCTTCATGACTTTGTTGTAGTGTGGCGATGACAGCAGAATTTGTTCTCTTTATAGCTATTATAAAAATGTTGTCTCCGCGTCGATTATATATTCATTTATTTTATTTCTGAACCTCGTAGCATTTCAAGACAGCCAATGGAATTGAGTAGAGGGTGAGACCAACCACGGAAGAGAAAAAAGAAAATGAAAAGCAGGTACACAAAAGGGGGAGAGATTGGCAAGTTACAAAGCAATGGGATGCCCAGCAAGCTATGCAGCGGAAGTGGTGACTGTGATTTTGTTTACTGGAAGATACTGAAGTGCTGTCTGACGAGGGTACGGATTATGGGCATATCGGGAGCTTGCCTTCAACTGGGAGGCAGTTGCAGCCACATGGAGTAGAAGGAAAATAGACGGGAATTTACGAGTAGGTTCGGCCAAGCTAGGGGGAGAGGAACGCGGCTTCAGGTGATACCCAAAGCCGAGTTCGTATCACTGATTCATTCATCGAATGGATTCGGAGTCTAAGCCGCAGGGCGAGTTGTTTGGGCATTACAAAGTGGGGCTAACACATGGAAATACTGTACATGTTGATACCGCATCAATACCTGGAAATACTGTACATGTTGATACCACATTAACACTTGGAAATACTGTACATGTTGATATCACATTAATACTTGAATATTTCAACTGACAATTCAGTATTATTCATCTGCTGCAAGTCGACAAATGTTCGGCCCATTCAAATTTCGGCCTCCCAGGGCTAAAACCCATTTCAGCCGCATCAAATGTTCGCCCTGTTCTGCTGCCATCTGTATACACTATCACACTGAACCTTGGAAATCATAATTTCGGCCAAACATGACCAGGCCAAAATGGCGGAAATAGATATATCGGCGAATATTTGTTGACATACAGTATCATCGAAAGGATATATTCAAATAAATCAATACCATACCATACCATACCATAATATTGTTATGTTCCTCCTCCTATACAACCTTTTCCAAGCTGGCCTTGCATGCACCCCATACTACGTCGTACTCACCTTTTGTCACCTTTTGTCACCTTTTGCTCCGTTGGACTGGGTAGCTACTTGCGCGCCCATATTTGCCATAGCTACCCAGGCCCTTTATCTTGCTGTATACACTTGATCTCTCTCTCTTGTCTCTCTCTTCCACAATGTAGTCGTTCCGTTCGTCTTTGTCTGTGTCTCTTCGTCTCTGTAATAAATGTTGTTCCCACCCTACCTGTTCCCGTTGTCCATTGTTGTCTCTGGACAATATGCCGTCGTCCTTTTCGTACTCAATAATAATTATTAAAAGCTATACATGGTCAGGAGGGTATGATGCTGGTTCACAGCCAGATGCACCAAAGGCCACAGAGCAGCATCCATTCCGTCCAAATAGCTAAAATGCAAGTTAAAGGAGAACTGTCACCAAAAAAATTCTTTGTCTTATCTTGTAGTTCTTTGGCTCCTGTTCAGGAGGTCGCACGTGTCACTGGCATGCACTCTCGTTTTGTGTTACATGTAGCTGTGACTTTCGTTAGGGTTCACACATTTAAGTCACAGGCTTTGTCTTCACCTTCTTTTGCGCCTGCTGATGGAGTTGTTGGCATGCAAGTGTTATAAGCTAGACGTTTTCACTGCAGTAGTGAGTTGGCTAGAGTAGGCTGTAGTGCTTACGAGTTCGGAGAAAGGTTTCAAGCAATTGCGGCTTGGAGCCAGAGTTTTCTAACAGAGTTCTCTTCATAGTCGCGAGCTGGTCTTTTGTGTGGTTTGGGTGTGAGCCGAGGCAGGAGCACGCCTCTACAGAACATATTGGTAGCAGAGGATGGTTAATCAAGTCGAGTCGACCTCGTAAGTGCTGAACGTTCCACCTAAGTGCGGCTATGGAGTCTCCAGTCAAAGAGGACAAGGAGGAAGACAGCCATGCCGCGGAGGACGGGACTGCCAGCACCGAGGAAGCAAACCACCGAGAAGAACCAGCGGCAGTAGAGAACAAGCGCGAGAAGCTTAGCGAGCTTCTTAGAGAAAAGATGGTGGCTAAAAAACACTTCACCAACGCGCGGCGGACACTTCTCGTGCGCTCCATGAATGGCGGAGTGCGAGGAGAGCAAGCTAACGACGAGCTAGCCGAGCTAAGCTCATATTATGACAACGCCACCAGTGCTATCATGAACCTCGTTAGTCTGTACAGCTCAACCAACGAAGAGAAGCGTATTGAAGTAACGCTGCGGGAAGCGGAATTGCTCGAGGAACAATTCACCACCACAACCGAGAGCATTTTGGAGGACGTACGTGGACAGGTACGCAGTTATGCGGAGGAAACGGACTACCTGGGCGTCTCACAGCGGCCCCACCCAGTCCAGGCTCGACGCGAACTAGCTTCGGAGGTCGGGTACGGATACAGCGGACCTGCCGCAAGCACTATGCCCAGTTGGGATGGAGCCCGGAGCTACCTGCACGCGCACGGCAGAAGTTCAGTTGAGGCCTCGGAGTCTACTGCTGCACGTGGACTAGCGTACGACTACGGCTACCATGGCTACACGTACGAGCCGACGAGCCGGTCAGCCGGCGTAATGCAAGTAACAGTTGCAGACCAGCACCGGGGAACGGAGTACGGTCTTGCTGAAGTCAGCGAAGACAACTACAAGGCGGTCAGCGAAAGCGGACCGAAAGTCACCATGGGCACGGATGAGTTGCGACCAGAGACGCCTTTGGTCCACAGAGCGCTCACGCCGTCTAAGACCCAGGTCAGCGCGAGCAGGGCGGCGAGCGGCTCGCCTTTGTCCGCGGCTGTGGCGCAGGTTGGAGGGAGCGGCACGCCAGCTGCGGCCGCTTTAGAGTCTGGCGCCACCGGGCACTTGGACAGCGCGAACAGAGCGACACGCGGTCCGCCTTTGTCCGCGGCTGGTCCCCAGATGAGCGCGAGCGGCGCACCACATGCGTCAGATCCAGAGTCTGCACCAGTGCCTGCAACGCTATTCAGCGCAACCGGCAGGCCGCCTGGATCCGAGCCTGCAACGCTATTCAGCGCAATCGGCAGGCCGCCTGGATCCGAGCCTGCAACGCTATTCAGCGCAATCGGCAGGCCGCCTGGATCCGAGCCTGCAACACTATTCAGCGCAACCGGCAGGCCGCCTGGATCCGAGCCTGCAACGCTATTCAGCGCAATTGGCAGGCCGCCTGGATCCGGGCCTGTGCACGCGTCGGAAATTCAGACCAGCGCGGACAGCGCACAGCCTGTGACCTCTGCGCTAGCTGCAGGATCAGCGCCTTGGGGATTGATCAGCGCAAACAGCGCGAACGGCACTGGAGCGATCAGCATGACCAGCAACCTACCGGTGTCACCGGCTGAAACGTTAGCACTCCAGATTGCCAGCGCCGACAGCGCAAACGGAATGAGGCCAGAGATGCCTGCATCCCAGCAGACAGTCAGCGGAAGCAGCGCAATCGACAGACTGCCTGGATCATCCGTACCTGCAACGCTATTCAGCGCAATCGGCAGGCCGCCTGGATCCGCTTCTGCCACGCTATTCCAGCAATCCGTTGACACCCGTCACACCACTACTCAGTCGCCAGTAATTACATCTGCGTCTCGGCAGTGGGCTGGCGCCAGTGGTGTGGCCGGCGTGCACACTGTGCCAGCAGCAAGTCTGTGGAGCCCGCCCGCTCCACAGGCCATGGGTTTGCAACCAGCAGGGTCGACTGCCGCACCAGTACCGGTGCCATCAGTAGCACCAGGCCAAACACGGCATCAGCAGTCATCGGACGAGATATTCCGGCGGCTGAAACCCATACAAATTCCAACGTTCACAGGCAACAAGAGAGCCTATCGTGCCTGGAGAGCAGCTTTCATGGCTTGTGTTGGGCAGACGAGCTCAAGTCCGGAGGTGAAGCTGCTGCACCTTAAGCAGTATTTAGGTGGAGAGGCATTGGTCGCCATTGAGAGCCTAGGTTACTCGGCCCATGCCTACGAAGCCGCCGTAAACCGTTTAGACAGGAAATTTGGTGGCGAGCAGAGACAGACAAACCTCCAATTTGAGGAAATAGAGTCGTTCCCCGCCCTCCGGACAGGCCGGCCTGGAGACCTGCAGAGATTCGCCGATTTGCTGGATGTGCTGATAGTGAACATGGTGGATGCAGGCAAGGAATATGAGCTGGGCG